CCAGTGGATAATCGTCTCCAACAGTCGGTCCCGGGTAATCCTTCTACTGCCACTCCACTGGCAGGGTAACACCACAGTGTTCTTCCGGGAGGCGACTCACAGCTGCTACAGCAAAGCACAAGGTATGGGGACGGCTGCCTTGGGTAGACTGACTCAACTTCCATCACAGCAGTCCCAGGTAGACTCTGTAAGCAGACACGTCATCAATAACAGGGACACTAAAACACCTCACTTACAGGCTCAGACACAAACGCCCGACATATCCACTCCATAGATGGCGCTGTAGTCTGAGCACCACCTCACCAGAGGTCAGGAGCGGCTGTGTTGAGCGCTGAACAGGACTGGAAACTGGCCCTCGAGGCCAGTACACGTCGTCCTCACCAGGTGTCGTCGTCCGTATGGAGGGGGTTTCGGGAGCTGACCCACAGATGGCGCGGTCGTCACTGCTCCGTGCTCGGACGCTGGATCCGGGTTCGTAACAATGTCTAGCGCTATAATTTAAATGCCTCGCCTGGGATAGGGGCAGCTATAGTACAGCCACGACCAATAGTTGCCAGATGCCACCTAGAAAAAAAATCCAGGCCAACATTCTTGGGTGTTAGAGCGTCAGTATTGAGCAAGCCACCAAGGCTGCGCATGCTGTATGAGCTCACAGCACCGCTGTTAAGCTTTTGACCACAGCATCGCCTACAAATGCCATAATATACATGATACTGCTATTATTTAGCGATGATAGTATTATAGAAGACCCCTGACTGTGATAAAACTGACCAGGATTCTGATAATAGCAGGATTGTGGTGATATTTAGCGCTGTGCTCGATGGAGGGAGGAGTAATGTCTCCATGGAGGAAGGGTGGTGGCGTCGTCTTCTGACTGTGTGGCCACCTTTTATTGACTGCACTCACCATACCAGCTTAGTGGTTCGCTATGGTGAACACAAATGTAGATATTTATATATAACGTGTGTATAGTGTGAGATAACAGCAAGAGGAGTAGGTTGGGAGCCTCCATTTTGGTGAGGGAGATGCGTCGTCTGCACAACTTGTCATGTTGTTTACTGGTGGCCACTGGTCTTTGGGCACCATACCAGCTTATTTGTTCAGATATGGTGAATAAAACAGGTAGATACTTATATATAATGTGTATATATAGTGTAATAACACCACAAACAATATTGTTGGAGGAGAAATATTAGTGCGTCTGGCCTTGAGGGCGGCCGTCACCAGCTGACTGTGTGAATAGCTACGTCTTCGTGCCTTTACTCACCATACAAGCTTAGATGTACAGTTATGGTGAGCAAAACATGTAAATATGTATATATAACGTCTGTGTATAGTGAATAAATGCAAAAACAGTATTGTGATAGGAGAATGAGGGCGAGTGAGGTGTTGTTGAGGGAGGGAGTGGCTGGCTGGTGTGTGGCGGTCACTCCTCGTTGCTTTTTGACTCACAATACCAACTTAGTTGTTCGTTATGGTGAACAAAACTTGCAAATACTTATATATAACCTGTGTATATAGTGTAACAGCAAAACTATTTGTTTATTGTTCTATGAACATAATAATTGAATCACTAATATGCACACCATAATTTTGAGTACAGCAATTGTTCACACATTTTATTGTATAAATATACCACAATTCACTGTATGGAATAATATTACTGCAAAAAACTAAGAAAAAATCAATCGGAGACGTTGAAATAATTAGGTAATAATATATTTGTGGCAACTGCCGTCTGACAGCTCGGGCGGAGTAGACCTCGTCTGGCGAAGGCTCTGCCAACGCCCCTTTTTTTGCCAGAGTTCCCTACCCTATTGCGGCTAAAATATGCCACCTACGATTTTTTTGTTACTTTTTCTGTGATCAGGGAACAAAAATTAACACTTGTATAAGACGAAAGTATTTTTTGGATTTTTGTTGTTGTTGCGCCTGTGGGTGTTAATTCCATTTGGGCCCCTAGCGGTTTGAGGGTTAACAGTAATGTCCTCCAAAATTGAAGATAGCCACACGAGTTCATGGTAAACAGTGACATATGGCCTGACACAGTACATTCATGTCTGTTGGGAAAAAAAACCAGCGTTGAATGTAATGAAAAGCCATTTTCTAGATGAGACCCGGAGGCTCCCTGGAACTATCCAGGCTAATATGGATATATTAGACTTTGGCATTAGCAATGTGAATGGAGTTCTAGGCCTACCGGGGACCATGAGCCTGAACTTGGCCCCCTCAGAGAGGCACGAGGAGCAATGGCCTATAGAAATGCACGTGTGGTTATGGAGCATTCTATGTCTGCCATCAACCGAGTCAGGTACCCAGAAAGGTAAGCATCCCAAAACAAACTCCTATTTTGGTTGAAACTACTAGTGATAGTCAATCGAGTGGACAGAACTCCCCAAATGAAAACAGGCAAAGGAGCATAACATCACCACATGTCACGCCGCTATCTGCACAGCTCCCCCACCTCTCCCCCAGGGGGAAAGGGGAATGGGGAGCCCCAGACCCTTCAGGTTGGCTACCCACACCTCACTTCTAAGGTTGGATGTCAAAACACGCGAAAAACCACCGACCGGGGGAAGGAAGGATGCTGAGAACCGCCAGGTCTCGCCCAGAAAATGGCATTCCATTACATTCAACACAGGTTTTCTGGGGGGAAGCCCCTTCGGCTTCAGGGAGCTACTTGCCCAAAGATGATAAAACTTAACCAAAAAGGGACTTACCCGGGAGGCGGGTGGCACTTTCACCTCAACACGAAGTCAAGACAACTGGCTGCAACCGCCGTTCCAAAGCAACACAGGCCTGACAAGGCCCAGGAACATTGACCAGATAGCGCGCAGTCAGGACACTTCGACCACCAAAAACCCTGCCCCCGAATGTCAGCCCAAGACATGTTACTGAAGACAGCAGCAAGCGCAGCAAACTTACGAAAGTTAAGCATGGGAACAGATTGCAGGCTTGCTGCACCGAATAACCCTGTGGACGACCTGAGAAACCCCAAACCCTGGAACAGGAAAGAAGGGAAACCGGGTCAACCCAAAGGGCGTCACCGGACATGGAGGCCGTGGCGCGCAGGTAACGGCAAAGAGCTGCAACCAAATACAACACACGATGCACCCCTGGCCTAACAACCAAGCATCAATTACCCAAGAACCCCTTCGGAAAGCAGCAGTCTTATTCTTCGCCAGAAAAGGAGAAACAAATGAACGGTTGCAAACGAACAAACCTATCACCTCGACCAAAAGGGCAGAAACCCCTGCGTTGGAGGAAAGCATGAAGCTCCCTGACCCGACCCCCAAAGACCAATGCCAACAGGAAAAGAGCCTTAGGGAAACAATCCTGAACCGAAGGGGCCACTACAAATCGAGGGGAAGAGAGATAAGAGAGCACCCAGTTAGAGCATCCAATGACCAGGACAGCTCAGGCGGCGCATGAGCAGGCCAGAGGTGAAACACATTATACAGCTTGCAAAATGGTGCAGAAGTAACATCGGTGCCGAAAGCAAGCTGCAGCGGCTCCGCCAGCGCCGCACGATACAAAGCGACAGTATTCGGCATAAGATGACGATCCTAAAACAGCCACGAGAGAAAGGACAAGACCACCTTAACAGAAAGCGAAGTATACCTACGAAGAGACGAAAAGAAACGGAAGGACCGCCAGGAAACTTCATACTGCCGCCGAAACAAAGCACGCAGGCGGGACACCATTAACGAAGCCACCTGATCACCATACAGATGGTAATAACCTCGAGTCAACAATACCAGACTCGAAGACTCGAGAAGATTGATTGATTGTTTATTATATATCATGCCATGGGTCCCAAGAAAATTAGTGGTAAGGTTCAACCTAAGAAAATTGTTGTGAGTAGAGGCAGTAGATGATGTCCTTTCCTCATTAAGAAAATGTGTGAAGTATGGGAAGAACTGCAAAGTTTTGTTGAAAAAACTTACCCAGAGAAAGCTGTAGCAGGCCATTGCATTGATCTTTGAATGACAATGTGATGTCTTACTACAGACAAGTGTTAAAATGTAGGGAAAAACAAGTGTCTTTAGACAGGGTCTTAGTAAGACAAGCAAGCAGTGAGCCACAAGCAGGTCCTAGTAGTATGCAGGCAAAACATGCCAGAGAATGTATCCCAGAAAAGTCATTACTGCCTGATGTTATAATGGAATGGAACTCCCCTCCCAAACAGTAACACCTCTCCTCCCCCCCCCCCCCATCACCATCTTCCATTTGCCATCAAGAGTCCTCCATAAAGGTAAGAAACATATGTACTGTATTGTAGTTAGAGAAAAATAATTGTATTCAGTATAAAATGTATTTGTAAGTTAATATTTTGGAGGGTGGGGAACAGATTAATTCAATTCCCTTTATTTCTTATGGGAAAAATCGCTTCGACTTAGGATATTTTGACTTACGTTACGTCTCTGGGAACAGATTACCATCGTAAATCGAGGCCCCCACTGTACATCATATATATTTTTGGTTACAGATTTTGTTTAGTAATGTTATAAGGATAATAAAAAGTTATAAAAATAATTGTTTCATGAATGCTTTATTGTATTAGATGGAAATTCTCTAGGCTATCTCTGTCTGGCAATCTACTGCCACCTACAGAAGGATCTCTTGGGGATGGAGGGAGACAGTGAAGGTGGGTGGGACAGAGGAAGCGAGCAGCAGTGAGGTTGATTCCCTCCCTTCATGACTCCCTCCTTTCTTGGTGATGGTGTAGAATGAGTGTTACGCCACTGAGCCAGCCAAATATCCGCTAGTCCGGCTTCCATGGGCATTTTGGCCAGACAGGGAGATAACTTTATCCGGCCACAATTTTTGCCGGATTAGGGTGTTTTCCAGATTGACGGAGTCCAGATTAGCAGGTTTCTACAGTATAGCTTTTCATGTCCTATTTCCAAATTACTTTTATTAAAGTGTGTTTCTTAGTTATAGGTAGAATTAATAAATGATTAATTCATATGATTAATTATTAATTTTAAATTTTCCAGGTACCATTTCCTATTCAGTTGGAGAATCCTCATATTATTAAGCGACACCAAGTTTGGGTTGGTATTGTAGGCAAGGGACCAGATGGTTTCAATTTAAATTCTTCATTTCAGAACAGGTATGTTGTGATGTGTATTGATTGTACAATGTAGAGTATTATTTTGTATCATGGCACTCATTTCCTCTTGCCACCATTTTTTCCTGTGGGGGAGCCCATACACCTTCCTGGAGCTATTAGGCTAATGTGTGATATATTAGACCAGGGCATCAGTCTATAGAGTTCAGCCTACTAGAGACCATGAGCCAGAACCTGCCCCCCCCCCCCCCCCAGAGAGGTTTCAGGGAACAATGGCCCTGGAAAACCCCCTTGTGTTTTTTTTTTATCTGCCATTGACCTGGGTTAGGCACCCAGAAAGGTAGGCATAACAAAATAAACCCCACATTGTAAGAAAAGTACAAAGAAAAACAGAACAGAGAGGCAGAAATTTCTTCTAATCTCAAGGAAACAAGAAAACAAGCAAACATCACACTCCACTGCCGCGCCGCTCGTCCTGCACAGCCCTCTCCTTCCCCCGCGCCGGCTACCTAGCACATCAGTTCGTTAGCTAATGTGATCCAGGGTGGACATCTTCTCTGGCCTCGAATTAGAAGGTGGTGTTTTGCCTTTGTTGCGACCTCTATTGTGTTGTTGTGTGTGGTGGCCAGGTGTCCTCATCCAACCCATCCTCCGAGTTGACAGTATGATTTAATACCAAGTGTAATAAGTACACTTTCTTACTGTCATAATCAGTGCATAATTGCACTTATGGGGCTGTTACATTTATCCAACTCCCTCCCCCGATTTAATTCTTCTCGTTTTCTGTTAAGACACTCAGAATTTTAGGATGAAGTTTTCGATCTTAATTCGCAATACACAAGTTTTAAATATCAGAAATTTCATTTTCAGGTTTATTAAACAATATATTAAACAATATATATTAAACAATATGGGCCTGCAGGCGCGTTGTGCAGTTAAAGGGTTAATTACAAAATCTCTTCTGTAAGCATGTACTGTGACAGCTCTTGCTTCTGTCATCCCATATATTATGTACCTGTGCTTACTTATTTCTTGTACTTATTTCTTTGTACATTTATATGCCTCGTGCATTAATTTTCTCATTTTCAATTTGATAATGATGTTCTTTGATAACCAGCTTCCTCATACTAAAATCTCAAGATTTTGTTGCAACATTGTTTCAATACCTTATTGAAAATTCCAGTATATTAAAAGTAAAGACAGTAGAAGAAAGTACAGTATATATAAGGAAAAATATACAGATGTAGAAACACACTGCATTCAGTAATTTTAAAAATACTGTATTCAAGGTTATGTAATAGTTTATCAGTGATGCTGTAGTGTTGGTGTAAGGAAATAGTGTCATTGCTTATACTACAGTTGTAATGGCAGTTTAATGGGAGGAAGGTCAACTGTTCAGGTTCTGTGTATAATAATAAGTTTCTTCTAGGAGTGATCCACGGTACATAAGCTCGTTGGGTCAAACCATCCTCAATTTCTCAAGAATTATTCCTGATGGATTATTGGTGTTCTTTCCTTCCTACCCAATAATGAGGTCATGTAGGGATGAATGGCAGAACTCTGGCATATGGAGTAAGATATCAGCTGGAAAGGTATGTCATGTATTCTTTTTATTGGACTCTTATAGGTGTAATGAAAATACTGTATTGGTGAAAAATAAAAGTTTTCATTTAGTTTTTAATTTACTTTTGTCATAATATATTTAAATTCATGTACAATACCATCATCACACACACATAGGGGAGAAGGTGACATCCCTTGTGTCGACACCTACATCAGAGGAGCTCCAAGATATTTCAAAATTCCTAAGTATTGTAGAACAGGTTGATGATAGTGAGTGGTGTCTCAAGGCACATAAAGGTGTAGTGCTTTTGAAAAATAGGTGAGATAACACGAATGTGTCAAGGGAAGTGGAAAAAAATTGGATGAGAAAAAGTCTAAGATGGAGAATGGCAAACACAAATATCATTGCAGGGAATGACCAGGGAAATAACCAACCACAGGTCACAGAACTTTTGAGATTCTGTCACAAATTCTCGCTCAATCAACAGATTACAGAATCAACTAGGAACGAAAACACACTAGACTTCTTATTCACAAACAATGATGAACTAATCAGAGACATTACAATCTCAGATACTACATACTCAGACCATAAGCTCATTGAAGTGCGAACTAGCATAAATAACGGTAGCAGGTCTAAGAGACCCAACAAGCGAGAAGGAGTATTCAATCAATTCAATTTCAACAATAAGAGGATCGACTGGTAAAAAATAAATGTAGACCTTGAAACCATTCAATGGGAGACGGTCTTAAGCGACAAAACTCCCACACAAGGAATAGCTCAAGTGACAGCTGAAGCTTACAAGGTCTGCTTGAAGTACGTGCCTGTGAGGAGGGTCAGAAAGAGGACCACTCTAGAAAGAGAACGCAGACGACTGTACAGGAGAAGGAAAGAAATAACGGAAATGCTTCGGCAGGCACAACTATCAGAAGAAAGAAAAATAAACCTAAGCAGGGAGATTGAAGAAATAGAACAAACGTTGAAGCGATCATATGAGTCTGAGGAAATGGAATTGGAACAGAAAGCTATACAAAAGATAAAGAAAAATACAAAATATTTTTTCACATACACAAAATCAAAATCAAAAACCTCCACCAGTATTTGACCATTAATTACAAATGAAGGTACGTACACAGAGGACAACAAAGAGATTAGTGAAATTCTATGAAGCCATTATGAGGCTATGTTTACCACACCAATAAACAACATGAAAGTTGATGACCCAGACAGCTTCTTTATGAATGACATTCAAGCTGCAGATAATATAACGGATATTAACACAAACTCGAAAGACTTTGAAAGAGAAATTGACAATAAGCCCATGCACTCAGGTCCTGAGCCCGACTCATGGAATTCAATATTCATAAAGAAATGTAAAGTACCAATAGTGCGAGCACTCAGCGTAATATGGAGAAAGAGCCTGGATACAGGGGAGATACCAGCTGCACTTAAATCTGCAGGTATAGCTCCTCTGCACAAGGGGGGTAGTAAAGCCTTGGCAAAAAATTATAGACCAGTTGCACTAACATCACACATAATAAAAGTGTTTGAAAGAGTGATAAGGAATCAATTTTCTAGTTTTATGGAAAATAATGAGTTGCACAACCCAGGACAACATGGATTTAGAGCGGGAAGATCCTGTTTGTCACAGTTACTCAACCAGTATGACAAAATCACAAAAGCTTTAGAAGAAAAGCAAAATGCAGATAATGTATACACAGACTTTGCAAAGGCGTTTGACATATGTGACCATGGGGTGATAGCACACAAAATGAGGTCAATGGGAATAACTGGTAAAGTAAGACATTGGATACTCAATTTCCTGTCGAACAGAACACAAAGAGTAACAGTCAATCAAATAAAATCGAGTCCAAGCGAAGTTATAAGCTCTGTACCTCAAGGTACAGTCCTTGCACCGCTATTGTTCCTTATTCTCATATCAGATATAGACAAAAATACACGTCAAAGCTTCGTGTCATCCTTCGCAGATGATACAAAAATCAGCATGAAAATTACCTCTGCTGAAGACATTGAAAAATTACAAGCAGATATAACAAAGTTTTCGATTGAGCAGCAGAAAATAACATGATGTTTAACAGTGATAAATTTCAGGTACGGCAAAAATGAAGATCTGAAGCATAATACAGGGTACAAAACACAATCGAATATGCCCATAGTAGGAAAACAGCATGTCAAGGATTTGGTAATAATGATGTCCGATGACCTAATGTTTAGGGAGCATAACCAGTAAATATTGCATCAGCCAGAAAAATGATAGGATGGATTACGAGAACCTTCAAATCGGGAGATCCCATCAGTGATTGTACTCTTCAAATTACTTGTGTTGTTCCATCTTGAGTACTGCTCAGTACTCACTTCCCCCTTCAGAGCAGGAGAGATTGCTAAAATAGAGGGAATACAGAGAACATATACGGCATGCATAGACGAGATAAAACACCTAAATTATTGGGATCGTCTCAAAGCCCTCCAAATGTACTCTCTAGAAAGGAGACGAGAGAGATACCAAATAATATACACATGGAAAATACTTGAGGGCCAGGTCCCAAATCTACACAGTAAAATAACAACGTACTGGAGTGAATGATATGGAAGATAATGCAGAATAGAACCTGTGAAGAGCAGGAGTGCCATAGGCACAATCAGAGAACACTGTATAAACATCAGAGGTCCACGGTTGTTCAACACCTTCCCAGCGAGCATAAGAAATATTGCTGGAACAACAGTGGACATCTTCAAGAGGACACTAGATTGTTTTCTCCTAGGAGTGCCGGACCAACCGGGCTGTGGTGGGTATATGGGTCTGCGGGCCGCTCCAAGCAACAGCCTGGTGGACCAAACTCTCACAAGTCAAGCCTGGCCTCGGGCCGGGCTTGGGGAGTAGAACTCCCAAAACCCCATCAACCAGGTATCAATGGTGCTCGTTCTATTTTTTTTAATCGTTTTGGGCCCTGGCTCTTCGTTTTTCATTCCCTTTTGTCCGTTGCTGTTTGCAATCTGCGGTGGTGCATTTTCTGCAGGCGACTTCGTCTAGTTGACGGCCTATATCGGACTTGTTGGTTCTCCGGGGGGCCGTGGAGGTCCTGCCCGGAAGGGTCGCACCAGGTCTCAGGGTTCCTTCAGTCATCGTAAGTCAGTAGTGCCAGATTCGGGACTGGCCCTCCTGCGGAGTCGTTGGCTCACTGATAACTCTGAGTTTCATTCGGGCTCTCGAAGGGATTGTCAGCCCTTTCACGGTTCGCCCTGTTGGTGGGGCGAGGGGGGAGGCTCGCCTTGTTTGTTCTTGCCTGGTCCCACGATTTGTGGGCAATTCGGGTCCTTTTCCTCCAGCTTGCGGTGGCATTGCTTCTTTCCTTCTCCTTTGGGGGGATTGGGGCTTGCAGGGCAGGCCTCTTTTCCTGCGCTCTGTCAGGTCATCCTGGAGTAGGTTTCCTGCCTGTCTTCAGTTCCCAAACGGGACTGGACAGATCTGCAATTCATACTGGACTTGTCCTCTATGATGCCGTGGGTCTTTTGCCCCTTCTTTCAGATGACCACTCTGTCTCGGGTCCGGCTGCTTTTGGCACCTGGATGGTGTCATTAGGTCTCCTGGACGTGTATTAGCACGTCCCGATTCATCTGGTGTTCAGGGACTGGCTCGGTTTTGTCATGGAGTGACATTGCTTTCTTTGCCTTCCTTCCAGTTGGATCTGGCACCATGCGTGTCCACGAGCCTTAACTGGGTTGTGGTGACGCGGTTGATTCTGGCTTACCTCGACAATTGGCTGGTGTGGGCTCCAAGCCAATCCGTGTGTCTGCTCGCCAGGGATTTGGTTCCTTACCAGCTCGCCGGGTTTGTGTTCATGTATTGGAAGTCCCAATTGGTTCCCTCTCGGATTCGGACTGGGCTGGGTCTTGTGTGGGACTCTCGGACCACTTCCTTGTTTCTCCCTCTGGCGGCATTGTTGTGGCTGCAGTCCCGCTTATGACAGTTTTTGGAGGGCACCTGGGTCATGCGTCGGTTGTTTTAGCGGCGGTGTGGGAACCTGATCTTGGCCATGCTGATCTACCCGTCGGGTCGGATCTGGCTTTGGCGAATGTTCTGGTTCTTCGGGGGCATTATTTCCTCCACTCTCGTGATCGTTGTGTTCGGATCCCGTTAGTCTTGCGTCACCGGCTTCCTCTGAGTTTTTTTTTCTTTTCTTTTTTTCTTTTTCAGGGTTCTATGCCCTGATGCCTCCCCAAGCCCTCACTCGATGTGTTCACGGTTGCCTCGTCTCCCAGCTGAAGTTTTGTGACCAGTGCTCATCAGGCCGGCCAGAGTCAGTGGGGTCTGTCCTTTCGTCAGGCTCACAGCATGGCACAGGAGTTCGCGGTGATGTGACATTCCCTTCAGAGGGTTCGTGTTGCTCGTGGAGCAGTGATCCGCTCCATTCAGACTGCTCCTTAGTGGCTCATTGTCTGAACCGCGAGGGTTCGATGCGGTCCTTGGCTCTTTGGAGCTGGTCGCTTCATGTGACTCGCTTGTAGAGTTCTCGGGGTTTGGCTCTCCTGGTGGTTCACGTTCAGAGGGTGTCAGACGTACCGGCGAATGGCCTGTCTCGGTTCATTCCCCTATCCATGGAATGGGCGGTCGACACAGACACATTCAATTTGCTCTGCCGGACGTATGGGCACCTAGAGGTGGACCTCTTTGCATCGACTTAGTCGAGGCGTCTTCCAGTGTATGTGGCGCCCTTCCCAGAATGCGTGGCCGCTGGGGTTGATGCCTTTCTGTTGCACTGGTCGAGTTCGGGTTACCTGTACCTCTTCCCACCGATTCGGTTGTTGCTCCGGGTCCTGGTTAGCTTAGAGAGACTTGCAAGGAATGAGTGGTCCTGTGAAACCAGGGCTGGGTTGGCCACCAGAGCACCAGTTGGTGCTCTGGTGGCCAACCCAGCCCTGGTTTCAGGCACCTCTTGTTCGATGTCCGAACCCGAGGGTCTTCCCACGGCTCCGCCTCTTTCAGCAGATTGGACTATTCCAGTGCGTGGCTGGTTCAATCTTCTCTGCTTCTCGCGTCTGGTCTTTTTGACGCGGGTTTATCACCACTTGTATGGTGACCAGGTGGCTTCGTTGGTGTCCCACCTGCAAGTTTCGTCTTGATGTCAGTATGAAATTTTCTGGCGGTCTTTTCGGCACATGTCTCTTCGTAGGTGGTCTTCGATTTCTGGTTGGTTTTGTCCTTTCTCTTTTGGTTATTTCAGGACCGTCTTCTTATGCCAGATACTGCCGCTTCGTTTCGGGTTTCACTGGCGGAGCCGCTGCAGCTTGCATTTGGGGTGGATGTCACTTCTGTTCCATTCCGCAAGTTTTCTCGGCCATTGTTCACCTCTGGCCTGCTCATGCGCCGCCTGAGCTGTCCTGGTCGTTGCACTGGGTGCTGTCTGTTCCCTTCTCCTCAGTTTGGGGTGGCCCCCTTGGCTTAGGACTGTTTTCTACGGCTCTTTTTCTTGTTGGCGTTGGTCTCTGGGGGTCGGGTCAGAGAGTTTCATGCTCTTCTCCGGCGCAGGGGTTTCTGTTCTTTCAGTCCTGGTGGTCTTTTCTTCGTTTGCAGCTATCTCCTTCTTTTCTGATGAAGACTGAGTCTGCTGCTTTCCGGAGGGATCCTTAGCTTGTTGATGCTTGGTTGGTTAGACCGGGGGTGCATCATGTTTTGTGTCTGTCTGTGGCTCTTCGCCGTTATTTGCGCGTTACGGCCTCTGTGGCAGAGGACGCGCTTTAGGTTGACCCAGTTTTCCCTTCTTCCCTATTCCAGGGTGCGGGGTCTCCCAGGTTGTTCACAGGGCTATTCGGTGCAGCCAGCCTGCGGTCTTTCCCTGTGCCCACGCCATTCTTAAGTTCGGCATTCTGATGCTGTTTTGGTGATGTCCTGGCCTATCTTTTGGACACGTGGCTATTGGAGGTCGAACAGGGTCCTGGCTGCACGTTACCTTGTTAATGTTCCTAGTCCTTTTCGGGCGTGTATAGCTTTGGGTCGCAGGTTGCGGCCTGTTGTCTCGACTTTGAGTTCAGGAGCGAGTGACGACCGCCTCCCGGATAAATCCCTTTTCTTCTTATCTTTGGTTAGGTAGCTCCAGGGAGCCGAAGTTTCAAAGTTTGAAAGACGAAGACTGAGGAAAGTTTTCCACCAGCCTGTGAACTCTCTCTGGACATCGTAAGCAAATCCGAACATACCCCGCTCCAGCGAACCATTGTTCGTCGAACCGGGTGAGTAAATCCGGCCTGAAAAGTGTGCGAACTAGCCGGAGATTCATTGAATCGGGGTACGTTGAATCGAGGTTGTATTGTAATGAAACGCCATTTTCTGGGTGAGACCTGGAGGCTCCACGGCATCCCTCCCTCCCTCCAGTTGGCAGCTTTTCGCGTTTTTGATACTCGACCTCTGAACTGAGGAGAGATGCCGGCGTAGAGGTCTGGGACCCCCCAGTTTCCCTCCCGGGGAGGGGGAAAGGTTGCGCAGATGGATGCGTGGTGGTTGTGGTGACGTCGTGTTTGTTTCCTTGTTTTTAATTGGGGAATTCTGTTTGCTAGTTCGGCTTTTGGTTTGTAATTTTTGACCAGCAGTACATAGTTTGTTTTGAGATTCCTACCTTTCTGGGTGCCTGACCTGGTAGATGGCAGACAAAGACTGCTACCAATTACACGGGGGTGTCTTTAGGCCATTGCTCCTCGTGCCTCTCTTGAGGGGGACCAGGTTCTGGCTCTGGTCCCCGGTAGGCTTAGAACTCCTTCGATTGACTGTTGCCATAGTCTAATATATACACATCACCCCGGTATAGCTCTGGGAAGCCTCCGGGTCTCACCCAGAAAATGGCATTTCATTACATTTAACGTGTTTTTTTTTTTTTTTTTTTTTTTTTTTTTTTTTTTTTTTTTTTTTATTATTATTATTATTGTCATAGCACGCAATCTCTTATATGGTGGATTTAAATTTTCCTTCTACCCTCCTCAGTTAGGTGCTTTGATTGTTAGAAAGTTAAGTATCACTGTGAGGCACAGGACAATGAGAACCTGGTGGGAATGTAATGTGTTCAGGTTGTGACTGGGTACATTTGAGGAGCTGTTCAAAAAGGAGTGTTTCTTAATGCTGAACACTTGTTCAGTATCATGAAAGTTTAGACATGAAACTAAAGTAAATTGTATAAAATGTGCTGCAAGTGTTGTACAGTATGTGTCAAGCGGTTCTAGATATTTATTTTTTGTTTTCTCTGTAGCCCATCTTTGTTGAGCCACAAACAAAGGAAGAGTTTCTTAGTGCTATGGAGGAATTCTACCAGAAAATTAATGATCCTTCACTCAAAGGAGCTTGCTTCATGGCTGTTTGCCGAGGAAAGGTGAGGACTTGGTTCTATGTACGGTGACTACTAAGCTGATTGTTTTGATTACCCGTATGTAAGGTCCTCCTGGAGGATGCTGTCATCAGGTAGTTTGCCTGCTTATTAGACTGGCTGTTTCATCTCTTTTGTAACTAAAACAATAAATATATTTCAGTAAAACTTAGTACATTTACTAATAATCATCACTTTATAATTGATCACAAAGAAGTCTATAAAAAGAGGACCTGGTCCCACACACATTAGAAATGTGAAATTCATCTTACTCCTATACACCTTGCTCCTATGTATGATCACTAAATGATACCTTGTGCATTACTAGGAAGCAACTGTCAAAAATCAAGCTTGCATATTAAGATCAAATGTCAGTCAAGAGCTTCACATCTTCTCTAACTTTTTAATGCTTATAGATGATAGGATCAGTTTACACATTATCATGTATCATATATAGACAATACTGTACATTATTAATAAAAGGTAGGTCTGCTTATCTAAGGCAAAGGTGTTATATAGTCATCAAGATTAAATTATATTTTACAATGTCTGTTTTTCCTTTTTTTTTAAATAGGCAGGGAGTACCACCTCTGACTGGAAGAAGGGGACCCTTAGCCTCAGAAGAAATCACACGTAACGCATTAGAGGGAATGTTTATGGTTCCCTCCAATACAGTTTCTGTGTGCTTTTCTCCTACCACCCCTTTCCTTTTGTGTTGTGTTTGTTTAGATATTTAGTTTAGATATTTAGTTTAGATATTTAAAGGTTACAAGATGTACATTAGTTAATACAATTAGTGCTTAAAGGTTATGGATCTCTTGGAGCTCTTCCGCTTCCGGAGAGGAACCGAGAACGCAGCAGTCGTTTCTCCTCCAGATTGCCACACTGAGGCGCTGAAACAAGAAACTGGCAGTCCTTGGGTCTCTGGTGATGGCAATGTGCCTGGAGCCTAATTCCTTGAGAAATCCCAAGGCAATCCTACCCCAGGGGCCATGCATCTCAGATGCTATGGTAACAAAGGTGTATTGACCTTCTAGTAGCTGATTCTGCTGTTTCCCTGTGGTTGGCCACCTCATCTGCTTGATCAGCACCGAAGTGTATGTAGATGTCAGCCAGGGGTGGATATACACTTGTAGTCCCACATCAGCTGTCTGCCCCTCTTCCAGGGGTATATTGTGATGCCATCGGGGTGAAGTGCGGGGACATCGGGGTTTTGGCCCCTTAGGATGCGAGGTTCTCTCTCCGCTGGGCATGGAGCTGAGACAAGGCTCCTCTTGATGATGTCATTGAACTCGTTGTGTCTTGCATGCCAGCCCTTGGATCTTCCGCAGTGCAACCCATGCAGTCAATATTGGTCTGCTTCCACCCTGTTGCAAATACACTTGTATTCAGTGGGAACTGGGGCACCAAGGCGGAGGGCCACTGCTACACGAAGGGATTCTGGATCTAGATGCGTGCCCATTGCCGACATGGTTACTGCCAGGAGGAAGTCTCCTGCATGGGGGCATTCACTCCTCTGAGGCGGGCTTTCTCCTTGTCTGATGTTGCAGCACTGAGCATGGCATCAGCTATTTTTTCCACTAGTTGGTGGTCCCAGCTGGACTGTTTATTTTGACTGTTGAGGGCGGCCTCGTAGCCTGGTGGATAGCGCGCAGGACTCGTAATTCTGTGGCGCGGGTTCAATTCCCGCACGAGGCAGAAACAAATGGGCAAAGTTTCTTTCACCCTGAATGCCCCTGTTACCTAGCAGTAAATAGGTACCTGGGAGTTAGTCAGCTGTCACGGGCTGCTTCCTGGGGGTGGAGGCCTGGTCGAGGACTGGGCCGCGGGGACACTAAAGCCCCGAAATCATCTCAAGATAACCTCAAGATATGATGTGTGCAGAGGCTGCAAGAGCATCCCACTGATTTGAATATTCAGTGAAAGCGGGATCGTGTATTATTGCTGAATCACTCGGGTTTAGGTAGGAAATCTCGTACGAGGTTGTACGATGCATGGGGGGTGGGGGGGAGGAAAGGAAGGCTGGTTGAGCAATCTGGGAGGCTGTGCAGACACCATGGTTGCCGAGTTTTACAGAGAGGGTTGCTTGCTCCCATTGAGAGTTGTCTAACGGAAGGTTCAAGACTTTCACCAGCGTGGACCTCAGAAGGGTGTCATACACATTTGATTTAGGGCTGATGTAGGATGGAGAATACCTCAGAAAGTAAGTCAACTTAGGAAGAGATAGGCATCAATTTTGTCAATTCTGTCCAGAATTCTCCTTAGGTCAGTGATTTTTGCATCCAGGACCTCCTCGATTGCTTGCAGGCCAATGGGGGCACCCAGGAGGCTCGACAACGAGAATGTCTGGAAGAACAGTTTTTATTTGGCCAGTGATGTCCGGGTTGCAGGAGACTATTTCGCATTTGGATGCATTGAGAAAGAAGCCCAAGGTTGCTCGTTGCTCCTGGATTTTCCTTGTATCCTCCAAAATGTATCTGGGGTTCCGGCGAGAGTGCCATCATCCAGGTACCAGATGTTCAGCTCGCTTGTCAGACTATCAGTGACCTCTTTGATAGCTAAGCAGAAAAGGAGGGAGAACTAAGGGATCACCTTGTTGGACACCTTCACAGGAGTCTATTTCATGTTCCCCAAAAATATGCCTAAAGTCCCCACTGTAGCACGATCAGATGAATGGGTAAAGGGGAAGGAAATGGTTGTGTACAGCCCTGAGGACAGCATCTCTTCTGAATTGATTGAAGGCATTTTTAAAGTCAAGCTTTACTAATGCCTTCTGGTCTGAGGGATCAGCAATATAAGCATGCGGTGCATGTGCTGCAGCTTCACAGCTTAGGGGGATCCCAAACCTGAGCTGATTAGGATTCAGCAAGGTGGCTGCTTCCTGGCTGATAGATCTCACTGCAGCCTTAACTACGAGGCATCGGAGGGTGTTGTCAACGGCAATGGGCCTGATTTCCCCATCCTTCTTCTTTGGAGCACAGTGTGCTGCTCCATAAAAGAGAGTGGCCTGATGTCCTCAGGGACTCTGCCAGCCAAACACATGTTAGAGAATCTGGTAAGTTCCACTAGAAGGTCCTTTGTGGCATCTCCAAGCACTGGGTTCATTATTTGTTTGATGTGCTGGGGTCTTAGGCCTGTGAAGCCCCCTGCTGAACCTGTTGGGAAAGACATGGCTGCTTTGTACACCTCAGATTCTCGAGCAGTCAAGGGTTCTATGCCAGTATTGTTTTCCTATGGATTCCTGCTACTGTCTGAAGCTCTATGTGTGTGTTTGTCTTGTAGAGCCTGTGCTGTCATGGTGTTCCTGGGGGCAATATTGCTGGTTATGATTCTGATCGCACCTGTAGTGGGGAATTCATTAAGAGCCTTAATTATTGAGATTGCTAATGACTTGTCTGTCTCTTCTCGGCAGTAATGCTAGGCGTGCATTCCCAAATATAATATTAGGAGATTGTACCATGCTCCAATGGTTCTAGGAGCTTTGTTGACTTTTGTCAGCAGACTGTTGAGTTTGGTTGCTGCTTGGTGACGGGCAGCCTTGTGGATGTGGGGGGGGAAAGGTCCTGGTGGACGTTGCTTTGACTATTTCAAGTAGACTGTCTGCTGAAATAAAGTTGACAGAGGTATTGTTCCTTGCTCCTGCAGCAGGTTGTCTGTTGTCACTGCCCCAGGGCGGGCACCTAGACCCTAGACAACAACGACCTGAATTGACAGAATGTCGGCAGACAGTTCCATCAGAAACAAGACGAAACCGTCTGTCAAATTTTGTATCTTAAAATCTTTGTCTTAATCCCTTATATCCTTTGGACATTTGCCTCATGTTGATACCATCTAAGACATTTAAAACATCTGTGGCAGAGAACATAAAATGTATTAAATATTTTTTCATGCTGGTTTAACTATCATAAATGTGAATGCATTCAAAACTTGTGCCAAGGAACAAGAATGTGTTAAAAGAAATAAAAGAATAGAACAAAATGCATCTATTGTAGCAAAGTAGAAACCAGCCTTTATTTTGTTCAAATTAATGCTTCACATTACAATAAACTGTCCATTTGGAAATTGTTTAAAAGTGTTTGCAGAATGCATGAGATTGAAAGATGTTTTAAGAAAATAAATAAGCAGAAAATTAGGTAGTTAAGTTTTATCTATTATGTGGTACTGCTTAAATCATTGTATTTAGGATTCTGATGCAGTACTTGTATTTAGTAAGTATTCAGTAACTTACTTTCTGGGGGGAGCCCCTTGTGGCTTCCTGTAGCTACTGTGCTGATATAGTGTCAAACTACTAGGTGCCATCAGTTGTGGAGTTCTTTTATACCTACCAGAGACCATGAGCAAGATCCTGGTGCCCTCTAGAGAGGCACAGTGAGCAGTGGCACATATGATAAAATTTATATGAATATATTCATGTCTGCCACCACCAGCAAAGGCAACCAGAAAGACAGCAAGATAAAACAGACCACTGCTGGTTAGAAGCAAGACTGCAGCCTCAAAACTGGTAAATGAACTCCCCCAACAATATAAACAAACGATCAAAACTTCATAAAGCTCATGTGAGCTTGTTTGCCACACCTCCTTCTCTTGTTCCTTCATTTAGGGGGAGGGAGGGAGGCAGCCAGCCCAGGCCAGCCAGCTGCTCTACCCTCAGTTCTTTGCTGATGGTACAAGTACCTGTTTACCCCCTCTGTCACTCTGGCTCTAGTGTCCTGGCTGACCTTTTCCACATTGGCTTGGTCTCTGCATCTTCCTCTTTACACTGCACCATTCTGCAACTGGTGGCTTTCATAGTAGATGCCTTTCAGCTGGACTGGTCAAGGTGGGGGTTCCTGTACCTCTTCTTCCCAGTCCAGCTGTTGCTCTGGGTCCTGGCACAATTGGAGTCCTACAGGGGTAGGGTGATCCTTCTGGGACCCTGGTGCCCGGCTCAGCCTTAGTTTCAGGCACTGCTTGCTCAGTGTTTGAACCTATATATATATTTTATTTATTTATTTATTTATTTATTTATTTAATTAGTTATTTATTTAATTAAAGGCTGGTTAATTATTATGGTGTTAATTATTTATTTATTTATTTATTTAATTAATTATTTTATTTTAATTATTTTATTTTAATTATTTTATTTTAATTTTATTTTATTTATTTGTTATTTTATTTTATTTATTTAATAATTATCTATTTATCTGTCTATCTCCCATCATCTGATATTCAATTTGCTTTTCAATTGTTTGTAACAGCATAACTTTTCAGGTCTCAGAAGGGTTGGATTTTGCTGATCGTAATGGCCGTGCTGTTATTATCACAGGACTGCCTTATCCTCCTTTTAAGGATCCCCGGGTTGTTTTAAAACGGAAGTATCTTGAGGAAGTACAATTAAAATTCAAAGTAAGTTGTACCTGAACAATTGTGTCACACACATTATCATGTTTTGTTTTAATTCACCCACATTATTCTATGGCATTAAAATTTACTTTAACCAGTGTTCAGTATACTGTATTCCAAATTATTATTTACTATAGTACTTAGTATGCGTAATGTCAAGGTTTGTTGAACTTGCTCACTTAGAAGTATGGCAATAATATACACAATACATTTTCTGTGGAGAGCCCCCCCCGGCTCCCCGGAGCTATACCGGGCTAATGTATATATATTAGACTGTGGCAACAGTCAATCGTTGGAGTTCTAGGCCTGCTGGGGACCAGCACCAGAGCCTGGCCTCCTCAGAGAGGCACAAAGAGCAATGGCCTATAGACACTTCCGTTTAATTGAAAGCAGTCTGTCTGCCATCTACCAGGTCAGGCACTCGGAAAGGTAGGCGTAGCTCGGCATTGTGCGAGTTTGAAAGTTGCTCCGATTCCTTGTCTCAGGGTGACATTCCTCATCTTTGTCTCCACCATGCTGCCTGTTGTGTAGATGACACCTTTGACCAAGAGTCTTGCGAGTAGTGTTCCTTGCATGTACTCCAGTTCACCCGGTCCATTGTCACTGTGATTTGAGTGCAGGCAGCTTCTGCATTGCATGCGAGGTTTGGGTTGCTGTAATGCGCTTGGTTGGTTGCCTTTCCGGATGCCCCATAGCTGTCCTGTTTGGGTTTTCAGGGACCTGGACTGAGGGGTGTTCGGAGGTTTTCGGCTTCCCACATCCCACCTTCTGAGGTGCGGGACGCCTTAGTGGCTTACCTCCTGTGCGACCTGATTTATGCTTCTTTTATAAATCCGTCTTCTTTCAGGTTTGGGTCTTCGTTTCCCTACAGGATTCGGTATGAGGTTCCGGAGTCGTCCTGGCTTGCGGACTGCCCTGTGTTTTCATTGGATGCTCGGCATCCTTTCTGTTGTACCTGCATGCATGAGTTGCGCGAGGCGCTGATGGTGGTCCAGGTTTTTCTGTGGGGGATAGGGGGCGAGTTTGAGCACCTCAATGTGTGTTTGTTCGCCCCGGCTTTTGAGCGGGATGTTGGGGTGGTGCAGCTGCATGTGCAGGTTCCTTCCTTTTCGGCTGTCCTGGTCGCTGAGGATTTGCGTGCTCATGGCCTGTTGGCTTTGGTTTCGCGGTTCTTTTTCCTCCTGGAGCTGTCTTCGAATTGGCTTCAGGAGGATGTGGAGGCACTTGGAGCTGTTCTGGGTCTGATGCTTTGGTCTCGGCAGTGCGTGCTTCATCTGCTCTGTTGAAGCTGTAAGCGCCGATCCTGCAGGATGCGGTGTCCCAGTTTTTCGTTTCGCATGTCGGCAGGTGGTGCTGGCCTCCTCTGTGGAATCTGCTTGGGTCCCGGGTCTTGGGATTCATTGCCCCTTTTGTCCTTTGCTGTTTGTGGAGTCTGCGGTTGCGCAGTTTCTGCAGAATGCTTCGTCTATTTGTCGTCCGATGTCAGACTTGTTGGTTCTCTGGGGTCCCCGGGGGTTGGGGGGGTTCCTTCTCGGAGGGGTTGTGCAGAGCTCGGTGCTCTTTAAATTGTGGTAGGCCACTGGCCACAGTTTAATAGCCGGCGCCGCCTTCGGACCCATCTTCATCTGGTTGGCGCTGTGGTCGCTCTGTGCGAAGGGCAGGTTCTCGCAAGGGGTTTCTGCCCTTTTGCAGTTCGTCCCATTGACGGGGCAATTGGGGGGAGACTTGCTCTGTTCACTCATGCCTGGTCACACGATTTGTGGAATTTTCGGGTTGTTTCCAACGGCCTGCGGTGGCATTGGGTGGCCCCGCCTCCTTCTGGAGGGTTCGGGGCAGTCCTCTGCTCCTGCGCTCTGTCAGGTCACCTCGAAGAGGGTGCACTACGGCGTGGTCTAAATGACGACGTCTCACAGGTGGGTTTCCCGCCTGTTTCCAGTCCCGGGACTGTGCGGACCTGCGGTTCATTCTGGACTTATCCCGTTTGAACCCCTGGGTTTCTAGCCCCTCCTTTTGGATGGCTACTCTGTCCCAGGTCAGGCTTCTGTTGGAGCCGGGTGCTTGAATGAGTCCCTCGACCTCCGGGACGCATACTGGCACGTTTCAATTCATCTAGGGTTCAGGGACTGGCTCAGTTTTGTTTTGGGGCATCTCGGTTACTGTTTTCTTTGTCTCCCATACGGGTTGAACCTGACTCCTCTCTTGTTCACACGCTTTACCCGGGTGAAGCCTTTTAGGTGTTCAGGTGTTGGCCTACCTCGATGACTGGCTGGTCTGGGCTCCCAGTCGGTCCGCGTATCTGCTCGCCGGGTTCGGGTTCCTGGTGAACTGGGGGAAATCCCATCTGGTCCTTTCCCATGTTCAGACTTGGCTGGGTCTTGTGTGGGACTCTTGGGTAGCTTCCATGTCTCTTTCTCTGGAATCTCTCCTTCTAGCTGCGGTCCCCCCTTTGCTTGTCTCTGGGGGATCCCGGGTCACCCGGCAGTTGCTCGAGGGCTTGTGCAGGAGCCTGAACTTTGTGATGGTGGTCTACCCGCCTGGTCGGGTTTGGCTTCTTCGGCTGTTCTGGTTCCTCCGTGGACGTCCCTTCTGCCTCTCTCTCTCTAGCGATCACTGGGTTCGGTCCCCGGGGGGCCTTGCATCGCTGGCTTCCTCTTTGAGTTTTTCAGGGTTTATTGCTTTGATGCCTACCCGAGCCCTCACTCAATGTGTTCATGGACGCGTCATCTCTTGGCTAGGGCTTTGTGACCAGTGCTCACCAGGCTGGCCAGGGGCGGTGGGGTCCGTCCTTTCGTCGGGCCCACAGCACGGTGTGGGAGTTTACGGCGGTGTGGTATTCACTTTGGAGGTTTCGGGTCGCCCGCGGATCAACGCTCCGGCTCTATTCGAACTGCTTCCCGGTGGTTCATTGCCTGAACTGAGGGGGGGTTCGATGTGGTCCTTGGCTCTTTGGAGCTGGTCTCATCAGGTGACTTGTCGGCTGAGTTCTCAGACTTTGACTCTCCTGGCCATTCTCGTCCGGGAGGTGTCCAACGTCCTGGCGGACAGCCTGTCCCGATTCATTCCCCCGCCCATGGAATGGACCGTTGACGCCGACTCGTTCAGTTGGTTCTGCCAGATGTTCGGATTCCCGAAGGTGGACCTCTTCGCATCAGCATAATCGAGGTGTCTTCCAGTATATGCAGTGTTCTTGCCTGACTGCGAGGCCTTTAGGGTCGATGCCTTTTGACTAGACTGGTCGAGGTAGGGTTACCTATACCTCTTCCTCCTGGTTCAGTTGTTGCTCTGGGTCCTGGCTTACTTGGAGATTTTCCAGGGGAGAGTAGTCCTGTTGGCCCCTTCGTTTCAGGCACTGCTTGTTTGGTGTCCGAACTCGTGGGTTCGTGGCACATCTCTAATTCTCCCCAAAATCCTGCTATTATCAGAATCCTGGTCACTAAATCCTGTAAATGAATAATTTTCCACAAGTTTATTTTGTAAAGGAACATGAGAAGTCATTTGAAGATTCTTAGATGGACAAAATAACGCAGTGTGCTGTTGCTAGTGCTGTGAATATCTTATACAGCATTGATTCACTGATATCTGAATATTGTACACAGTTTTTATCACAGTTAAGCTCTTCTGTAATACTATCATAGCTAAATAATACCAGTTACATATGTATTTTGACATTTTTCTTTAAATGGTGTCTGTTTACGAGAGCCTTGAGGAAGCTGATGTGAACCCCTGTGTAGCCGCAGGAGTTTTGAATGCTACGCTATACCTACGAGAGCCTAAAGGGGCGTTGTGCAGTGCAGTGGTGAAATATGAAAGAAATTGTTCAACCTTTGTGAGACCAAAGCTGGAATATGGTGCATTTGAATGGTGCCCATATCTTAGAAAGCAAACTGGAAAAGGTGCAAAGACATACAGCTAAATGGCTTCCAAAACTGAAGGAAAAGAGTTACTAGAATAGGTTAGAGACATTAAATATGCCAAAACTAGAAGATGGAAGAAAAAGAGGTTATATAATCACCACACAAAATAGTAATGGGAATCAATAAAATTTATAGGGAAGCATTCCTGAGACCTGGAATTTCAAGAACAAGAGGTCATATATTTAAACTAATTAAACAAAGCTGCAAAAGAAATATAAGAAAATTCACTTTTTGCAGACAGAGTGACAGATGGTTGGAACAAGTTAGGTGAGAAGGTGGTGGAGGCCAAAACCGTCAGTAGTTTCAAAGCATTATATAATAAAGGGTACTGGAAAGATGGGACACCGTATGCATAGCTCTCGTCCAGTAATTACACTTCAGTAATTACAGGCATTTATTTACTCTGTGAGCCTTCATTTGATACCTGGTTCAAGTTATGTTCATTTGCTTTTATTCAGTATGACACTGTAATAAGATTTCAGATTCGACTGATCCTTCTTTCACGCTTACGAGTTATCATTCTGTTATTCATCGAAGTGGTCTAGTCAGTTGTTTGGTTTATTATATAATTTCTGTTGTAGATTGTAATATATTTCAAATACTGTATATTGTTTATTTTCAGCGTGGACTCACAGGTCATGCCTGGTACCAGCTAGAGGCCTCTCGAGCTGTTAACCAAGCTATTGGCAGAGTTATTCGTCACAAGGATGACTTTGGAGCAATAATTTTGTGTGATAGCCGATTTTCAGCTGCAAATTTTAAAGATCAGCTGTCAACCTGGGTTCGACCTTACATTAGTAATTATAATGTGTTTGGTCCTGCCATGAGGGATATCATTCAGTTCTTCAAGAATGCACAGACATTGGTAGGTTAATATGTACAGTAGTAATTCACTATGATGAATAATATTTTGGTTGTATTAGGTCGCTTTATTTAATCCTTCCACTCCTCAGGGGTCCTGAGGACATTTACATCCCTGTGCACAAGAAAAAAAAATTCTAAAAAATTATTTCACCTTCTTAAAATGTTAGTGTTCCCTGAGCGCGGGGAAAAAAAATAATCATAGGTGACATATTTTGGGCGCAATTGACCGAGGAAGTCTGGCAAAAAGTGGGCGTTGACAGAGTGGTCGTCAGAGCCAGTCAGCGTCACCTGCGCTGACAGGTGGGAGTTGCCACAAAGATATCACTTAATTATTTTTATGTCTCTGATTTTTTCTTAGTTTTTTGCAGTAATATTATTCAATAGTGTGTATTGTAATATATTTACATAATAAAAGTGGTGAATAATCGCTATACTCAAAAGTATGGTGTGCATATTAGAGATTCAATTATTATGTTCATAAAACAATAAACAAATAGTTTTGCTGCTATTACACTATACACACAGGTTATATATAAGTATCTGCATGTTTTGTTCACCATAACGAACCACTAAGTTGGTATTGAGAGTCGAAAAGCAACGAGGAGTTACTGCCACACACCAGCCAGGCACTCATTGCCACCCCCTCAACAACGCCTCACTCGCCCACTTTTTCCTCCCACCATCCTATTTTATATTTTATTCACAATATATAGACGTTATATATAAGAATCTACATGTTTTGTTCACCACAACTGTACAACTAAGCTGATATAGTTAGTTCAGGCACTAAGAGTCGTCGCTATACACACAGTCAGCTGGTGGCTGCCTCACTCATTCAAGGTCACACGCACTAAACTTTTTCCCCCAACAATACTGTTTGCAGTGTTATTACACTATATACACATTATATATAAGTATATACATGTTGTATGCACCGTAACTGTACACCTAAGCTTGTAGAGTGCCTAAAGAGCATAGTGGCATCCCTCTGCACAGCCAGACAAATCATGCAGACGACGTCACCTCCGTCATCCAAATTGCTCCTCCCAGCATAATCCTTTTGCTGTTATTACACTAATACACACATTATATATAAGTATCTACATTTGTGTTCACCATAGAGAACCACTGAGCTGGTATGGTGAATGCAGACAATAACAGGTGACCACACAGTCAGTAAATGATGCCATCTCCCTCCGTCCCTCAGCATCACTCCTCCCACAGCGCTAATTATTACAACAATCCTGCTATTATCACAACCCTGGTTATTTATATCACAGTCAGGGGTCATCTGTAATATTGTCAGCGCTAAATAATAGCAATTATATATTTATTTAGACATTTTTCAGCGATGCTGTGGTCACAAGCTGAACAGCAATGCTATTTGCTCATGCTGCGTGTGCCAACCTTGGTTGCTCCAACAGTACTGTGCCTCTCACACCTGAGAATATTGCCCACGATTTAAAAAAAAAAATGGCGTCTGTTTACAAGAGCCCTGAGGAAGCTAATGTGAACCCCATGTAGCCGCGGGCCATTTAAATCGTACCTGGCACCCTATGGCGCATATGTACGCCATGCGCATAGTGGGACATGTTACTCATAGTGTATATACACGCCATGCGCAGTTTAAGGGTTAGAGTACAAGTAAAGTAGGTCCAAGTTTTTGGACTCCATGTGTCCTGTGGCTGTCCTTCCCTTTTATATAATTTTTTCTACATGGAAATATGCTTGGGACCTTCCATTGAAACCGTTCTAGATCTAGATTGTAGGCTCCTCAGTCATAATGTTCATGAATTCTAACTGCCCACTTCCCTAGATGAAGTATTTTGGGAGGCATGGTCCCTCTAATGTGATGGCTTCTTGATCCTGGGCTTCCCTCCCTATCAAATATTTCTAGAGCTGGTCCTACATAAACTTAGATGATACTGGTTCTTCTAGCATATAGACTTTTTTTTTATTGTCTATGTAAATTTTACCAATTAAAATAGTATAGTATTCAAATCAATTAAAAAAAAATAATTATTAATTAAGCAGTTAAATTTTAGTTGTTTTACTCAGATACTCACTAAAATAAGCTCTCCTAAACATACCATTACACAGGACCATGACACTCAGGGCAAGGAGACATTCTTCAAAAGTGCTGCAGGTATCATTCCTAGTGGTTATGCTGGTACTACAGAGGCATTATTTAAAAGTTCCTCTAACCCAGTGTAACCAGACAATTCACTCAAAACTTTATCAATCCCTTCTTGGCATCACAGGGACTGCCAAGTAGTGCTCTAAAGAAACAGCTAATTTCCTATCTACCCACTTTTCCTAACTGTCATCTGATGACAGCAGCTTAATCTCAGGCCCTGTGACATTTTTCAGCTTGTCCAGGTGATGGTTGGATAGGCTCAAGACTGCCTTAATAAGGCTGTACATTTATTTGAATAGCACAGAGAAATAACATTTAATGTATCAATGAGAAAATCAGTAGGAGCCTTGATGAGAATTCGAACCTGTGCTCTGGGTACTCCCGCATAGGGTGTTGGTCGACTCAACCTTGGTTCCATCCACTTCTCCTGTTCCTTCCCTAGTGAGCTTGGCTTGCCCTTCTCCTCCTCACCTGCATCCAGCTCCGAAGCATCTGAGGGTTTTGTACTTGGGGCAGGGTTTAGTTTGGGATATCTGGAGCATACCTGGAGAGGGTTTCGGGAGTTCTGCTACTCCTCGACTTGTGATAACTTGGCTAATGCTTAGAGCGGCCTGCAGGCCCACGTATCCACTACAGCCTGGTTGATCTGGCACTTCTTGCAAGAACCTGTCCAAGTGCCTCTTGAATATATCCACCTTTGTTCTGGCAGTGTTTCTAACGCTTGCTGGGAAGGTGTTGAACAGCCATGAACCTCTGATGTTCTCTGATTGTGCCTATGGCACCACATACCACACCTCCACCTCGACCTTTGGGCACTGGTTCTATTCTGCATTCTCCTTCGTACCTTTTGCTCCAGTATAATTATTCCTTTTGCTCCAGTATATTCTACTGTGCAAATTTGGGACCTGGCCCTCCAGTATTTTCCATGTATATATTATTTGATACCTTTCTCATTGCCTATCCCTTCAATTATTGCCTCTTAGCTCCTGCTCTTTCCCGAGGTATGAGCCTTGTGCAGCTGCATGCTCAAGATCCGGGAGGCGGTCGACTTATTTTTTACCTCTCGTCTCACATGTCAGTAAGATGTGCTGGCTTCTTCCTTGGACTCGCCTTGGGCCCTGGCTCTTCTGTCAGCTTCTCTCTTTTGTTCTCTGCTTTTTCTTGAGGACTGTGTTGATCAGCTTTTGTTGATGGCTTCTGTGAGTTGCTGTCTTATTTCTGACTTGTTGTGTGTCGGGGGAAGGGGGCTGGCAGTTTCTTCGGTCTTCCTGCAGAGGGCTAGGGCTTCGCCTTCTTTTGGTCGAGGTGGTCAGCTGGGTCTGACGTGGTTTCCCCAGCTTTGGCTAGTAGACAACGTGCTCACTCTGTTTATAAGGCTGGCTCTTGTTGTCCACATTGGCCCTTTTATGGGTCGCCTCTTTGACGGGGTCATTGGGGAAAGGCTTTAAAAAAAAATTGTTGTTCATTGAAAAAAATGTTCAGAAATTGTTCATTAGCACCAGAACTGATCCTTAGAAGCCAGCTGTGGGCTAGAGTCCAGGCAGCCTGGTAACTGCCAACAATAACAACAGGTTCTGGCTAGTTTTCAGTGAGCCAGTTGTCTGCAAAGGTTCGCTGACTTTCTGGATGCTTTCTGGTGTGATTGCAGATTGTTACTGGCTCCCTGCGCCTTTGTGGTGGGGGCACATTCTGGCTCTGATATCTAGTTGACCAAACAATCTCAGCATGACAGGTTCAGGGAGTCACCAGGGGGCCAGATTCACGAAGCAGTTATGCAAGAACTTACGAACCTGTACATTTTTTCTCAATCTTTGGCGACTTTGTTTACAATTATTAAACAGTTAATGCACTCCGAAGCACCAGGAGGCTGTTTATAACAATAACAACAGTTGATTGGGAAGTTTTCATGCTTGTAAACTGTAAAATAAATGTAACCAAAGCCGTCAAAGATTTAGGAAAGATGTACACGTTTGTAAGTACAGTACTTGTGGAACTGCTTCATGAATCTGGCGCCAGGGCTCCTTCAGAAATAAGCATTTCATTACATTCATCTTAGGGTTTTCCATACATAATCTTTTTAGATGCATTTTGAGTCAATTAGATATATATGAGTATTATTTTAACTTTGTTGTTGTTTTGCAGTTGCCACAGCCACAAGCCAAATGTAATGGTCAGCCAGCAATTAGTGTTAAGTACGAGACCGCACAAACTCCATTGCTGCCTCCTGTGCCTGCTCAAGCCTTTCAAGCAGTACCTTCTCGACATTTGATTTCAGACTTGACAAAGAAAAATATGGCAGAGGCTATTGGAAAAGAGCATGATTATAATAATATTTGGTCAAGTATGAACTATGGAAAATCAAATGAAGCCGAAAAAGTTTCAAAGGGTGACGGCTCCATATTTACGGCTTTGGAACAAAATTCTTCTGTTGTTAATTTCAATTCATGTAATAGTTCGTCTAAAAATTTATCAAACTACGCTACTATTAAGGTACAGAACAAGAAAAGAAAAATTAAGCTTGTATCTAAAAATGATATACCTGATATAGAAAACTATGGTGAAAAGCAAGAAAGTCAAAATGATTTTGCACAAATTTTAAATCCATTAAACCAGACTGATGATAGTTCTCTAGATGTGCTTGGGTCAGGGTCATCAAATCTATCACAAGAGAGTATTACCTGTGGTCAGGCAGAGTTTGTACACCCAGCAGCATTACTAACCAAGACAACGCTGACGGCGGGGCTGTCGGCTTCCAAGAAGGAAAATGGAAAGGATAAGAAGCTAAGCTCAATCGCTGAATATATAAAAGAAGTGAGTAAATACATCGTCTCTATTATGTAGGGCACATATATATATATATATATATATATATATATATATATATATATATATATATATATATATATATATATATATATATATATATATATATATATATATATATATATATATATAACGTCGTACCTAGTAGCCAGAACGCACTTCTCAGCCTACTGTGCAAGGCCCGATTTGCCTAATAAGCCAAGTTTTCATGAATTAATTGTTTTTCGACGACCTAACCTACCTAACCTAACCTAACCTAACTTTTTTGGCTACCTAACCTAACCTAACCTATAAAGATAGGTTAGGTTAGGTTAGGTAGGGTTGGTTAGGTTCGGTCATATATCTACGTTAATTTTAACTACAATAAAAAAAAAATGACCTCATACATAATGAAATGGTAGCTTTATCTTTTCATAAGAAAAAAATATGAGAAAATATATTAATTCGGGAAAACTTGGCTTATTAGGCAAATTTGGCCTTGCATAGTAGGCTGACAAGTGCGTTCTGGCTACTAGGTACGACATATATATATATATATATATATATATATATATATATATATATATATATATATATATATATATATATATATATATATATATATATATATATATATATATATATATATATATATATATATATATATATATATATATATATATATATATATATATATATATATATATATATATATATATATATATATATATATATATATATATATATATATATATATATGTCGTACCTAGTAGCCAGAACGCACTTCTTTGCCTACTATGCAAGGCCCGATTTGCCTAATAAGCCAAGTTTTCATGAATTAATTGTTTTTCGTCTACCTAACCTACCTAACCTAACCTAACCTAACTTTTTCGGCTACCTAACCTAACCTAACCTATAAAAATAGGTTAGGTTAGGTTAGGTAGGGTTGGTTAGGTTCGGTCATATATCTACGTTAATTTTAACTCCAATAAAAAAAAATTGATCTCATACATAATGAAATGGGTAGCTTTATCATTTCATAAGAAAAAAATTAGAGAAAATATATTAATTCAGTAAAACTTGGTTTATTAGGCAAATCGGGCCTTGCATAGTAGGCTGAGAAGTGCGTTCTGGCTACTAGGTACGACATATATATATATATATATATATATATATATATATATATATATATATATATATATATATATATATATATATATATATATATATATATATATATATATATATATATATATATATATATATATATATATATATATATATATATATATATATATATATATATATATATATATATATATATATATATATATGTCGTACCTAGTAGCCAGAACTCACTTGTCAGCCTACTATTCAAGGCCCGATTTGCCTAATAAGCCAAGTTTTCCTGAATTAATATATTTACTATAATTTTTTTCTTATGAAATGATAAAGCAACCCTTTTCTCTATGTATGAGGTCAAATTTTTTTTAATGGAGTTAAAATTAACGTAGATATATGACCGAACCTAACCAACCCTACCTAACCTAACCTAACCTATATTTATAGGTAAGGTTAGGTTAGGTAGCCAAAAAAAGCTAGGTTAGGTTAGGTTAGGTAGGTTAGGTAGACGAAAAAACATTAATTCATGAAAACTTGGCTTATTAGGCAAATCGGGCCTTGAATAGTAGGCTGAGAAGTGCGTTCTGGCTATTAGGTACGACATATATATATATATATATATATATATATATATATATATATATATATATATATATATATATATATATATATATATATATATATATATATATATATATATATATATATATATATATATATATATATATATGTCGTACCTAGTAGCCAGAACTCACTTTTTGGCCTACTATTCAAGGCCCGATTTGCCTAATAAGCCAAGTTTTCCTGAATTAATATATTTTTTCAAATTTTTTTCTTATGAAATGATAAAGCTACCCATTTCATTATGTATGAGGTCAATTTTTTTTTTATTGGAGTTAAAACTAACGTAGATATATGACCGAACCTAACCAACCCTACCTAACCTAACCTAACCTATCTTCATAGGTTAGGTTTGGTTAGGTAGCCGAAAAAGTTAGGTTAGGTTAGGTTAGGTAGGTTAGGTAGTCGAAAAACAAATAATTCATGAAAACTTGGCTTATTAGGCAAATCGGGCCTTGCATAGTAGGCTGAGAAGTGCGTTCTGGCTACTAGGTACGACATATATATATATATCTGTATATCTCTGTATATCTGTATTATACTTTACTACAGAGTGACCTTGCTTCATTGATTTGAAAAATCGTAACATTAATTCACAGACTTTAGTTTAAACAGTTTAATGATTAGGCTTTGATAATGATGTGCTGGGTATAAATAAAGGATAGTTGTGTATTACAATATTACTAATACATAGTTGAAGTACATTGATATAAATATTTGTGGTACAGAGTGAATGATGAAAGGATTACATGATAGGATAGTGCTGTGTATGATAGACTTTAAATGAAAATGCATGATGGGGCCTCACAATAATCAAACAAATGAGAGAATAAAATAGAGAGAGAGAGTGTTGGTTAATGTGTTAACACTTTCAGGCCGTGCACGCGCCAGACTACCGTTTCTGACGATTCCTGCGAGAGCACGGCAACACTGAAATGTGTATACTCTTTTAATTTTTATCACCTCAATTTTCATTGTATGTCTTACATTTTGGTATCAAAATGTTCACAATAGAATCCCCTACAGGAGTATATGCATATTAGGTCCAAAAGCCCGACGTCCCAAAAGCAAAAGCAAAAAAAAAAAAAACAGAAATCGGCCGAGCGTTGCCCGTTAGTGCTCAAGAGCAATGAAATGTGTATATTCTTTTCACTTTTGTCACCTCAATTCTCATGCTGTCTTTCATTTTAGTTCCTTATATGCACATATCTTATATGCTCCATTTTGGTACCTTATATGCATATATGGTATCAATTTGTTTGCAATAGAATTCCCTACAGCAATATATGCATATAAGGTTCAAAAGCCCAGCGCACCCTACCCACAGCAAAGCCGAAAGTCAGCCAAGCGTTATCTGTGAGCGAGCACCCATTAGCACACCCGCATCACCCGCTCAGAAATGTATTTACTCTTTTCAAGTTTCTCACCTCAATTTTCATTGTACGTTGTTCATTTTGGTATCAAAATGTTTGCAATAGAATTCCCTACAGGAGTATATGCATGTAAAGTTCAAAAGCCCGATGTGCCACCCACACCAAACCCAGAAATCGGCCGAGCGTTACCCATGAGCGCACAAGAGCAATACAATGTATATACTCTTTTCACTTTTGTCACCTCAATTTTCGTGCTAAGTCTTTCATTTTGGTATCAATTTATATGCAATAGAATTCCCTACAGGGATATGTGCATATAAGGTCCAAAAGCCCGGCATGCCTCGCCTGCAGCAAAGCCGAAAGTTGGCCAAGCGTTACCCATGAGCGAGCATCCATCCACACCCGCTCACAAATGTATTTACTCTTTTCAAGTTTCTCACCTCAATTTTCATTGTACTTCGTTCATTTTGGTATCAAAATGTTTGCAATTAAATCCCCTACAGGAGATTCAAGTATAAGGTCCATAAGCTCGACGTGCCACCCACACCAAACCCAGAAAACGGCTTGGCATTACCAGCGAGCGCGCAAGAGCAATGCAATGTGTATACTTATTTCACTTTTGCCACCTCAATTCTTGTGCTATGTCCTTCATTTTGGTATCAATTTGTTCGCAATAGAATTCCCTACAGGAGTATATACATATAAGGTCCAAATGCCTGGCACGCCCCACCCACAGCAAAGCCGAAATTCGGCCATGTGTTACCCGTGAGTGAGCACCCATTGGCACACCCGTAACACCTGCTCACAAATGTATTTACTCTTCTTAAGTTTCTCACCTCAATTTTCACCTCAGTTTGCAATAGAATGGCGCACATTTTAAAACCAGTCCTATAAAGATTGGATAAAAACTTGAATTTTAATAAATATTTTAATTTTGGATATCACCTTCATCCTTAAGGAACATCCGCAGAGTTATTTGTGGACGTCATCTCCGTCCCTAAGGAACGAAAGAGTCATGGTTAATGTATGGTTAGGTTAATGTATGCAAGAGGAGAGTTAACAGTGATTTTGGCACAATATAATATGAACAAATTAAGCTCAGTAACAAGTGGTAGGCATATAAGGAATGGGACAATCTGGGATGAGTCTGTAAGTGTTCAAAATTTCCTTAAATTTTGTACACAGGAATTTTTTATTCCAGGAAATAAATGGAAATAAATTCCTGTGTTTCTGGGGGGGAGCCCCTTCGGCTCCCCGGAGCTTACTAGGCTGATATGCTAATGACAGAATTTGGCATAAGTCATGTGTATGGAGTTCTGTGGGCCTACCAGGGACCATGAGCCAGAACCTGGCCACCTCAGAGAGGCATGGGAAGCAATGGCCTATAGAAACCCCTGTGTGGTTGGAAGTATTCTGTGTCTGCCATCGACTGGGTCGGGCACCCAGGAAGGTAAGCATCCCAAAACAAACTCCTATTCTGGTTAAATTATTGTTACCCAAAGCCGAACGAGTGGATAGAACTCCCCCAAAAGAAACGAGCAAGCGATCATGACATCACACGTTGCCGCACTACTGTCTGCGCAGCTTCCCCTCCCCGGGAGGGGGAAGGGGGAACCCCAGAGCCCTCACGCCGACTATCCACCCATCAGTTCTAAGGCTGATGCTAGAGGCAGAGGTCGTGTGCTCTGGCTCTGGTGGTTGTTTCAGCACTGTACCTAGAGTGTGGTGACTGTCTTCTAGGTGGTGCATGAGCCCACCTAGAAGACAATTTGATACCAAAATGAAAGATGTAACATGGAACTTGATGTCCAAACACTTATATGATTATAAATAGGTTTTTGGTCAAAATTTTAAAATATTTATTAAAATTCTATTTATTGTGCTATTATGTTGGGACTAGTTTTAAAATGTGCGCCTTTACGTTGCGAACAATTTGATACCAAAATGAAAGATGTAACACAAAAATTTATGTCAGAACACTGGAAAGATATAAATAATTTTGTGATGATGAGCTTCTAGAATTAAAATATTTGTTAAAATTCGAGTTAATGCCCTATTATTATGGGACTAGTTTTAAAATACGCACCTTTTTATTGCGAACAATTTTATACCAAAATGAAAGACGTAACGAAAATTAATATTATCAAACTGAACGAGTATATACATTAGGTTGCAGTATACAAATTGGTGCTTGTTTACAGGTAACTTTAGGCTTTTCTGCGAGGAGGCATGCCAGGTGATCCTCAAGCACCAGTAGGTGCTTGGGGATCAAAGAGTTCTGTTGTGTTCCCCCGGGCTTGGTTGCTTACATGATGGAGCTTGGTTAGCTACTGAGGGATCCATCACGAAAAGGTTTCATTACATTCAACAGTGGATTTTTATATGTACTATGTAGTTAAGGGATTGATTGACCAAATGTGTGTGTGTGTGTGTGTACATAATTATATGTATATTTTAAATTATATTCATATAAGAATATATAGGTCAAATAGTGTTAACATGATATGTGAAAGGCATTAGGCATATTAAATTTTGTTTTTTCCTATTCAGGTAAAATCATCATTAAGCAAAGAGAAGTATGCCGATTTCTCTACAGCAGTAAAAAATTATCAGAAAAACAAGGATTATGAGGGAGTAGTGGGAATCTTGGTTTCAATTTTTATCGACAATCCTCAACATCACCGACTCTTCAGAAGTAAGTTTGTTTTTTCTGCAGTTCACTTAAATTGGTAGTGGTACTTTGATTTATTTAAAGATACATCACCTAAGCAGAACAATTCCATAATCCTGAACTACATAAAAATTCTTATTCTTACTTCTAATTTGTTATTCATAGACAACAAAATGAAGCCTACATTTAATGATACAAAGTTTTTAAACATGTTCCTAGACATTTAGCCAAGTCCTCTAAACAAAAAATTCATTACACAAGATACTTAGGTATTTTAACAGGCCCCCTGGCCACTCATTGTCTTGCATCTCAGGTAAATTAACTGTCCTGGAGCACTGGCAATGTTGACCTTCTCTAGTGTTACTTAATTCTCTTCATAACAGGAAATGGTCTTTGGCAGTGATGATTAACTGGCAGTCCCATTTTTCTCAGTGTCATACAATGACACTGAGAAAACCAGACAACTAAACCAGAATGGTTTAGTTGTTCGGGTGCAGGCAGCTCAGGCATTGCATGCTAGGTTTAGGTTACTGCAACGCACTAGATTGGTTGCTGATCCGGTAGCCCCGAGGCTGCCCCGTTTTGGTTATAGGGACCCGGACTTGGGGGTGTTGGTCACTTCGACCTTGAGTTATCTTGAGTTGATTTCGGGGCTTTAGTGTCCCCCGTGGCCCAGTCCTTGACCAGGCCTCCATCCCCAGGAAGCAGCCCATGACATCTGACTAACTCCCAGGTACCTATTTACTGCTAGGTAACAGGGGCATAGGGTGAAAGAAACTTTGCCCATTTTTTCTCACCGGCGCCCGAAATTGAACCCGGGACCTCAGGATCACGGGTCCAGCATGCTGTCCGCTCAGCCGGCCGGCCCCTTAACTGGACCTTGGTTCAGTTCGTGCTCTCTCGTCCTTTCCCTGCTGTGGTTCGTTCTGGTCTTCCCCCTTCCCCCTGCTTCCGGCTCTGAAGCATCTGAGAGTTTCGGAGTCGGGGCAGGGTTTAGTTGGTTGGAGACTCGACCAGTCTCGGGGGAATGCCCCTTCCGGGATGGCAACGGAGGCATTCAAGCCTGTTCCTCCAGCTGATGCGTATAAGTCTGACCAGTGGGCCTTCTAATTTAGTGTTTTTACAGCTGCCCCAGCTTTTTCTTGTGAGGCCGGGTCTTTTTTTTTGGGGGGGGGGAGAGGGCGGCTCGGCCCTGAGTTCTGACTTGGGGGGTCTTGGGCCCCATTGGTCCTAGCTTGGGTTTTATGCCCTCTGAGCAGGTTTACTGAGCAGGACTGGTGTCCTCATAACAGTTAACAGTATTAGTGTCCTTCACCCCACCCCCCCACCCCGCCCGCCTCCTCTGAGTTGGATTGGTGTCAACCTCTTCTTGGGTTCGGTCCCGTCCTTCCAAAGTTTTTTGGCTTCCCATTCCTGCCTCATGAGGTGCAGGAAGCCATTGCGGCCTACATCCTATGTGACCCGGATTATGCCTCCATATTGGTTACTTCTTTGTTCAGATTTAGATCTTCATGTCCTCCCTGGGTTCGTTATGAGGTTCCGGAGTTGTCCTGGCTATCGGTCTGCCTTGGCCCTGACTCTTCGGTTTTCTTCTTCTTTCTGTCCCTTGCTGTTTGCAGAGTCTGCATTTGGGCAGCATCTGCAGGTGGCTTCTGCTTGTTATCGTCCATTGTTGGATTTATTGGTTCTCCACGAGGCCCGTGGGGGTTCTTCTCAGTGGGGTCGTGGCTCTCCGCCGTTACCTGTGAACCATGGCCTCTGTGGCCTGGGACGCATTTTGGGTTAACCCGATTCCTTTCTTCCCTGTTCCAGGGTTTGGGTCTCCCAGGTCGTCCACAGGGTTATTCAGTCCACCCAGCCTGCGGTCTATCCCTGTGCCCATGACGTTTGTAAGTTTGCTGTGCTGGCTGCCATCTTCGGTAACATGCCTGGGGCTGACATTCGGGCACGAGGTTTTTGGAGGTCAACCAGGGTCCTGGCCGTTCGCTACCTTGCCAGTGTTCCTAGGCCTGGTCGGGCCTGTGTCGCGTTGGATCGGAAGTTGCAGTCAGTTATGTCTACTTTGAGTTGAGGAGTGAGTGCCGACCGCCTCTTGGTTGTGTCTTTGGGTACGTAGCTCTGGGGTATCAAAGGGGCTCCCCTCAAAAAACCAGCGTTGAATGTAATGAAATGCCATTTTCTGGGTGAGTCCCAGAGGCTCCTCAGCAACCCTCCCTCCTTCCCTCCGGTTGGCTGTTCTTTGACATCTAGGCTCAAAACTGTTAAGGATAGCCGTCATGAGGGGTCTGGGGCTTCCCCTTCCCCCTCTCTGGGAGGGAGGAGATACGCAGACAATGGCACAGTGGTGACGTCAGGTTTGTTTGCTCGTTCTCATTTGGGGAGTTCTTTCCACTAGTTCGGCTTTCAGTAGCAATTTCTTAACCAGAATAGGGGTTTGTTTTGGGGTCCTTACCTTTCTGGGTGCCTGACCCAGTCGATGGCAGACATAGAATGCTTCCAACCACACAGGGGTTTCTATAGACCCATTGCTCCTCGTGCCTCTTCTGAGGGGGGCCCAGGTTCTGGCTCATGATCCCCAGTAGGCCTAGAATTCCATTCACATTAACTGATGCCAAAGTCTAATACATTATATCCATATCTACATTATATCAGGGAACCCTCTGGGTCTCTCCCAGAAAATGGCGTTTCATTATGTTCAACTTTGGTTTTTTATGACCTTTTTGGGTCATATTTTGCCTCATTACAAATTCAAAGTATTCTGTGTTTCATTGTGTGCTGAATTTAACTGGAAAGTGGAGGGAACATTAAGTATTAAAGTTAAAGTGACTCTTTTTGTTAAGGAAAGTGTGAAATATAGTGAACAATGAAGGTCTTTGAAATCTAACTTATGTACACATAAGTTGGATTTGCAGTGTTTGCAGGAATGTAATCCCCATGCTAATCATGGGGATTACATTAATTATTAATTGCACTACTGTGTAATTGGGGACTATATTTAAGTCTAGATATTTATTTTTAAAAGTAAATGATAACAAAATTATATTAATACTATTTCTTTTTCATAGAGTTTGAACAGTTCCTGAAAAAAGAACATCGATCAATGTTTCAAGAAACCTGCTCTGAAATGCTGAAGAAATAACTGCACAGAAAAGCAATGCATAATTAGTACATTAAAGATGCTGGGAAATGAACAGATCCGTCAATTTATATTGAACCAAAATTATATACAGTATAGTACTGTACTTTAAATTAATTAAGGGGACAGTTTCTGTATGATTCCTGGTCACCTTGCACTTTGAAATATTAGCACACTATTTTACAAATACTGTATTGATAAACCAGTCACTTCTTTTTTGTAGGCCATAAAATGGTACTTATCTGACATTTAAGTTGGGATGGTTTCAACGTGTGTTGTGCAGTGCAACGACACTAACAGCACATTGCTGTTACAGTGTAACAGCACTTTAAAGCCTTTGTTCCAAGCTAGTTCATTTTTCTAGCAGGACCACATCTTACATTATTGGGATAAGTTATAAAACTACTGGTTAGGTTAGCTTTTGCCTGAATGTGACATAGGTATATTTAATTTTTCCTTCTATATAAAAATGCTGAAACATTTTTCTAACTTCATTGAAATGTTATTTACATTCATTTTGCTCGAACCTTTTTTATATTGTAAATTGTTGCTTAATAAATTTGGAATGTACCTTTTGGCATGTTTCTAAATTTCAAGTTGTATTATTTTTTTAACTATGTAGAGGGAGGAAGTATGTAGGATATTTGTATAGATGGATTATTGTAGAGGGTTTGCCACATTGAAGTGCTCCCTTATAACAGGTATACTGTATTCTTTTCCCAAGATGTACACTTTTCTTTTTAGTTTTTAGGTATTTTCTAAGATAAAATACTTGGATGGGGTTCAGGAAGTTGTTCTACTCTCCAAGCCCGACCCGAGGCCAGACTTACGAGAGCTTGGTCCAACAGGCTGTTGCTTGGATCAGCCCGTAGTGCCACGTATCCACCACAGTCTGGTTGGTTCAGCACTTCTTGAAGAAAACTATCCAGTTTTATCTTGAAGACGTCCACATTTGTTTCTGCAATTTTTATTTTAATTGTATGTGAATTGTAAATAAAAATTAAGGTTTATATACTGTATATTTTTTTAAGCTACACATATTTTGTAACGTATGTTCAATTAAATATTTATTAAGTGTATTTTCTTTTAATATCCTTGGTGGTTGGCACTTTTCTTATCAATTTTTTATGTAGCATCTTAGACTGTAGCCTTAACCCTTAAACTGCGCATGGCGTATATATACGCCATGAGTAACATGTCTTACCATGCGCATGGCTTATACATACGCCATAGGGTGCCAGGCACGATTCAAATGTCCCGCGGTGTAAAGGGGGTCACCCATACTGTAGCCAGGGGCGATTGTAAACAGATGCCATCTTGAAAAAAATTTAGTGCAGACCTTTGTTTCCCAGGCCTTAGTTACTGGCCAGACATCATAGCGAGCACTTCACGACCCAGCGTCCGACCTCGCTCAGCGCACCACGCCACGCAGTCTTTGACCGAAGATGAAATAGCCAATGAATTGTTCAAAGATGTTGACGAATCTGACATTGAGGACTATACACAGCCTGAGGAAATAAAAACTACGGATAGTGAGGGTGAACATGTTGGTGCCACGAGAGTCACCCGCTACAACTCGACACCACTTCGTGCCTAAGCACATAGTTCATGTGCTCAATTGCAAGATTATGATATGATCAACGAGTCTGAAACAGGTGAATCATTCTCTGGTTTTAGTGATGTGGAATCGGAGAATAGTTTTGCTAAGCCTGCTAGTGCCAGTACAAGTTTCTTTGCATCAGCTGCCCGCTCAGCTAAGCGTCGCCGCATGGAACAAATTGGCGACAATGAGGAACAAATCCCCTCATCTTCCAATACTTTTCTCTCATTGACCCTTCCTGTCCCTACGGTTGCTAGACCTGCTTCAGCTCCTGGTCCTCGGATTCCTAGCCATGGTGCAGCTAATAGCTCTCGGAAGACAGCAAGTTTATTTGTGTGGAGTGATGGGGAAGATTTTGTTCCACAAATTCCTGACTTTGACAAGAGAGATGTGGGAATTACAGATCTTTTCCCGATACAGGTGATGGAACATATTGTTCACGAAACGAACAGACTTGCGGCTGTTACGAACCCGGATCCAGCGTCCGAGCACGGAGCAGTGACGACCGCGCCATCTGTGGGTCGACTCCCGAAACCCCCTCCAAATGGACGACGACACCTGGTGAGGACAAGGTGTACTGGCCACAAGGGCCAGTTTCCAGTCCTGTTCAGCTCACAACACCGCCGCTGCTGACCTCTGGTGAGGTGGTGCTCAGACGACAGTGCCATCTATGGAGTGGATATGTCGGGCGTTTGTGCCTGAGCCCGTAAGTGAGGTGTTTTAGTGTGTCCCTGTTATTGATGACGTGTCTGCTTACAGAGTCGACCTGGGACTGCTGTGATGGAAGTTGAGTCAGTCTACCCAAGGCAGCCGTCCCCATACCTTGTGCTTTGCTGTAGCAGCTGTGAGTCGCCTCCCGGAAGAACACTGTGGTGTTACCCTGCCAGTGGAGTGGCAGTAGAAGGATTACCCGGGACCGACTGCTGGAGACGATTATCCACTGGGGTATTGAGGACAGGAGAGTGATTTGTGGTATCACACGAGGCTCCTGTCTAGGGCGTTACCCTAATATCGCCCGTGGAGTGGCCTGACCAGCGTGGCTGATCCAGAACCTGCCAGCAGACCTGCTGGACTTGTGGTTGACGGCCTCCACGGCGGTGCCCCCAGTGGACCTGTGTTTTGGCTGACCTGTGGCCAGGGTAGACTCAGCTTGGTCGAAGGATTCGTCAAGAGACCACGAAAGCACCGAGGACTCAGCACCGAGAAGTTGGATCCAGAATCTTCATCAGAAGACGATTGTGTATTTCCCCTGTACAGTGTTAATACCCCTCCCCCTGTGCACTCTTTTATATATATTATTTATTTGGTGATGGTAACAATTATAGTCTTAAGTTCTTAACTTTCTTTCCCTTCCCCCCTTTAAGTTTATTGCGTCACGGATCTCATTCCTTGAAAGCCACTGCTGGCTTGGGGCCGGATACTACTTCCTCTAATAACATCAGAGTAAGAACCCCGTTGCGTCCCGAGAGGGCCGTAACAGCGGCTGATCTCATTGAAGGTGAGGAGGTATCAGAATTTTCATGATTACAGCATTGGAAAGAGACGACTGTAAGTGACCTGTATGTGTTTTTTGTAATTTGTATGTTGATGAAACATTGTGTGAAACACATAATATTCCATTATTGGAGCAAAGACAACACGGTTCCAAAACCATTGTTTGGGAAATATGTGTCCCGAGACCGATTTCTGTTCTGTTACTCATACGGTGTCTTCATTTTGCAAATAATGCAGACAAGAGACAGGATGATAGGTTTTGGAGGGTGAGGCATATGCTAAATGACCTGATTGGAAAGTTCAGAGATTACTACGTACCAGCTCAGAAGCTGGTTATTGATGAATCCCTTGTGCTTTTCAAAGGACGTGCTGCCTTCAAGCAGTATACCACCCTCCCCATCTGGCCCATTAGCGCCGTGAGGGGGCTATCTTGAGATGATTTCGGGGCTTTAGTGTCCCCCGCGACCTGGTCCTCGACCAGGCCTACACCCCAGGAAGCAGCTCGTGACAGCTGACTAACACCCAGGTACCTATTTACTGCTAGGTAACAGGGGCAAAGGGTGAAAGATACTCTGCCCATTGTTTCTCGCCGGCGCCCGGGATCGAACCCGGGACCATAGGATCACAGTCCAGCGTGCTGTCTGCTCGGCCGAGCGGCTCACCTTATCTCCCCATCCACGGGCTTGGTGGATGGCTGCCGGAGTGTGATGCTCCATGATAGATGAGGGAGTAATAGAGCGTCACCAGAGCAGGGCGGGGTACATAATATCTGATCTTAGAAAGAATGCCAACAGTTTTTGAAACTATTTTTGATATATTTAGAATGTGTCCCTGGAAATTCAGCTTACGGTCAATGAGAACGCTAAGGAATTTGCCATCTATTTTGTTACAAATTTGGGTATTGTTTATTCTGAGATTTATTTGAATAGAGGATTTATTGCCAAACAGAATATAGAAGGTTTTGTCAATCTTAAGGGTGAGTGTGTTGGCGGTTAGCTAAAGATGGATTTTATTTAGCTCATTATTTACTGTGGCATTTAGAGCAAGGGGGTCAGGACTGGAGTAAATGAAGGTTGTGTCGTCAGCAAATAGAATTGGTTTGAGGTGTTGGGAGGCATTTGGAAGGTCATTAATGTAGATGAGAAAGAGGAGAGGGCCAAGTATGCTGCCCTGAGGAACACCGATGTTGATGGGTAGGGTGGGAGAAATTGAATTATTCACAGAAACATACTGGAGCCTGTCAGTAAGGTAAGACTTGAGGTATTGTAGGGAGTGTCCTCTGACTCCATAATGATGTAATTTAAGAAGAAGGTTTTGGTGGTTGACAGTGTCAAAAGCCTTACGCAGGTCCACAAATAACCCAACAGGAAACTCATTTTTATCAAGAGCTGCATGAATCAAGTTAATCATACTAATAAGTGCATCGTTAGTGCTTTTTTTGGGTCTGAAGCCATATTGACAAGAGCTAAGTATATTGTGTTTGGCTAGATATGAGTAAAGCTGCTTGTAGATTAGTTTTTCAAATATTTTTGACAAGTTAGGCAGGATTGATATAGGTCTGTAGTTGTTAACATCTGTGAGATCACCACATTTGTGGACAGGGGTTACTCTCGCTTTTTTTTAGAATATCTGGAAAGGTTTGGAGTGCAAGTGACTTGTTGAAGAGCAATGCAATAGCAGGGGCTAAAGATCTGGAGGCTTTTTTGTAAATTAAAGTTGGCATCTCCTCAAGGGCACTAGACTTGGTTTTAAGGGAAAGGATTATCTCATTAACGTCAGTGGAATTTGTAGGCTTTAGGTACAGAGATTGTGGATAGTTACCTGTAAGATAGTCCTTAACATCAGTACTGGAAGATGGAATGTCATTTGCAAGCGATGACCCAATGGAAGAGAAGAACCTATTGAACTCAATAACAGAATCTGAGGCTGAAAGCTGACCATCGTTATTGGACAGGAGTGTTGGTTTGTTATTTAAAATCTTCTATGATCCCAATATTTGTGAAATTGTGCTCCAAGTTTTTTTAATGTTGCTCTTTATTTGGGTAAATTTATCTTCGTAGTATTTAGTTTTGACTCGTCTAATTATTTTAGGTAGCACAAACGAGTAATTCTTTGAGAATTCTTTGGAGACCGTTCCTAACCTATACTTCTTCTCAAGGTCATGTTTTTTATTAATGGATTTAAGTATTCCCTTTGTAAGCCAAGGATTGTTAAGCCTTTTGGTTGTGACTTGTTTCGTAAGCATAGGACAGTGGGTGTTATAAAGGCTGAGAGTTTTTTTGAAGAAAAGATTGCACTGCTAGGTTGATGTCCCCTATGTTACCTAACTCGGACTCCCAGTTGACATTAGCAGCAGCAGTTATAAAATTGTCTATAGCAGTTTCATTGTGCAGCCTAAAGCTGAACTCCCTTGTCTCTAGAGGTGGTTTGTTAATGTCAGTTATGAGAAATGTGGGGTAATGGTCTGTAGTGCTATCGGTGACTATACCTGAAGTAAGCGGAGAGGTTATGTTGGTCCAGATGTGATCTAGAGTCGTGGCAGTACTATCAGTGATTCTAGTAGGTCTAGTGATTAAGGGTATGAGGAAGCAGGAATTCATACAGTTGAGGAAGCTAACAGCAGTAGGATGTTCAGGCTCGCAGAGGTCAATATTAAAGTCCCCTGCAAAAATTAGATGGTTTTTGTTCAGTCTGTTATCTAGTATTAGATTTCTAAGGTTTGAGTTGAATTCGGACACATCTGTGTTAGGAATTCTATAGACTGCACCCACAGACAGGACAGACTCAACACCCTTGACACTGAAACTGGCGAAGATATACTCCCCACAGCAGCCTCTAGTTCTAATTACTTCTAAGCATGTTAGTTCTTGGTAGTAGTAAAGAGCAGTACCACCACCTCTCTGAATTTGACGACAGTTGTGAATTGCCGAGTAGTTAGGCATGTTAAAGAGTTGAGTAGTATCCTCTTTTAACCACGTTTCAGTAAGTATAATAAAAGAGAATTTGTTGTCAATAGTTTCAATCAAGGCACTAACATCATCGAAGTGTTTACCTAGAGATCTAACGTTCAAGTTGATTACAGAGTTATTGTGATTATGTGTTAATACATTGTTTACATCATGTGCTGTATAATATCTGCAATTTTGATCATTAAAGTGATGATTGTCATAGATAGAGGATAAGAGGTTTAGTTCTGGGTCTATACTTGTCTGCATGTCAAATATCTCATCTTCTTTCCTGGTAAATATTAAATCTGGTATTGACAGAACATCCCCTTCCCTCATTCTTGTGGCCTGCTTGACGTGTTGGTACATGAATGTCTCCAGAATGAACAGTCATCCAGGAAAGAATTGAGGTGTGCCTCAGTGGTTATTGCATAGGTTTTTCCAGTGTCAGTCTTCCTAGCTATAATTTTACCATTTCGCACAAAACAATATTTAATTGCAGGGAAATTTTTGCAGAATCCACGCAGTTTAAGTAAGAGTTTTTGTCTGAACTGGGTCAGACATTCATCCACGTAAACAGTGGATTTACTAGACTGCAGTTCTGATTAGGTCTGACTTGCCGGAGTAGCTATCTGATTTAATACGAATTTTCCCCTGTTATTTGTACCACTTAGTTACTACCTACAGTTAGCAAACTGAGGATAATGTTCAAGAGATGTGTAAATAGTTCATGCAAAATGATAAGCATAAAATACAAATATTTAACAAAAATATTTGTTTTAATTCACCTGTAAAACGAACTAGAATGAATCAAACAAATATTGCAAGCGTGTAAATTGACTGCATATATGGCTATCGTGAATAATATAGAGCAAAAACAATAATACACTTTTAACGTCAAACATCTCATACAAATTAAAACGTTGATAAGATATAATTCTTCAAGAAAATGTTTGTATTGGTGAAGAGAGAGGGCGCAGGGCGGCGGGTGACGGAGGACAACCGCCCTGAGTGATGACATGAAACACGTCAAGGTTCACCTTCTCTCACTCAAGTAGGTTCTCTTCCACGTATTTCTTGACCCTTTATACACTTTCTTAGTGGAAATACTTGTTTTATATATACGGCATTAGTGTCGCTTGGCCTTTGAACCGGTGTTAGAAGATAATGGTGACTGGTTAGTTGTGGTGTGATGTAGGAGGTCTGATGTGGGCCCCTGACATTTTTTATTTTACAGTAGTTTGAGTGCAAATTTTAGGCTTAGGGTTTAAGGAAGTTGCTGCATTCTGATGTAGTTGCTACACACCCATCGAGTTACAAACGTAATTTCTGAAGCTGTAAATGCCAAGACATTACTTTGGTTCAAGATCCAGTTAGAAAAGTCCTCGGCAATAATAAAGGTATATTTGGCAAGCCACCGGCTTCCTGTCCCCGTCGAGGCCACTAGAGAGATGGTGGCTTCCCCTCAGGTAAATTTAGGGAACATGCAGAGAGGTGTGGCAAAACTGTCAAATGTTACTCAGTGATACAGTAATGGGTGCCCTGCCGTGAAGATGGTGATGTAAATCATCGGTAATCACTTGACTGCAGGCAGTGAATGGCTTCAACATCTGTGTTTATCTTTCTATTTGTTTGTTTACTGTACTCTCTCATGACCAGTATGGTTAATGTACTAATTTGTTTTATGTACATGCTCGGCATCCAGATGTTTTATATTTATCTCTCATTCTAATGAAATCTGGACATTTTCAAAACACTAATGCAATTTGTAAAATAATTAATTATACTGTACTTACTATTGGACAATATCAACAGATAGTATTCTTGTGCGTAGTGCTCCTACACAACTACAAGCAAGAATGAAGTGGTTTGAAGGAAGCATTCCTGAGGCCATTGGTGCTGCAAAATCACGCAATGCCATTTTTGTGGTCTATGTACATGGTAAGCTTCCATAGTCTTACAGTAGCTGCAGTACAGTTCATGTTTTCTCTTCTTATTATTATTGATTAATTTTCAATACATATAAAGAATAATTTCCATTCAATTAATTTATTTTGAAGATTCCATTCTTAATGTAATTTTGGGTACCTTAATTTGGTATGCTGTTTATAAACCTTTATACTGAAAGATGTGATTTTTTCCCTTTATATCTTGTATTATGCAAATAATAAGGTTTGACCACTTTTAACTTTATCTGTATCATGATTACCGTGTGCCCCATTAGATGGTGGGTTATACAGGATCATTTTAAGGCATTGTTGCTACTGTATTAGTTATCTTCACACGTTTAAGTACTGTATTGAATAATTTCCCTCACTTTAGTGCCCTGAGTTTAAGACCAGTTCTGAGACACTGCTAGCCACTAGTTATGATCTTCTCCCTTCCTCATCACCTTTGGAAGACTAAAAGTGTATCTAATTTTTACATTTTTTAGTTTTACATTTAAGTAAATTGATTGCAGGTGGAACTCACGGCTTTAAAATAGATATCATTATATTAAAATGTTTAGTGGTAAACTAAAAGGAACTTCCACACACAACTTATTACTGCATCGGGGGATAGGAAGCCAGATTATCGAGGCCCCTCCCTCCCCCCAGGATCGAATTACTGACCCCACCCAGGATATGCAACCCCCCACAACAAGCTGACTAACTCCTGAGTGCTTACTTGCTGCTAGGTGAACAGAGACATTAGGGTGAAAGGAAATGTGCCCAACCGTTTCTGTCCCGCCCGGGATTCGTACCCAGAATTCTAGATTGTATGTCAAGAATGAACCCGACTGTACTACCCAAAAAGATGTCGTTTCTTTTATCTTCTGATGTGTGGTTTGGTCATCAAGCTAAAAGGAATCCTGGACAACATAACTGTATTTCTCACATATATGGCTGTAGAACCAAAATCTTACTTTATTTTACTTTGTACAGAATACATCAAGTAAAAACCACTGATGCTGGTATATGAACAATTCTGTATATGCTTATAGATACTGTAAGAATATTGCATTTCTTATCTTATTCCAGCAAATGCATCTTTTCTCTATTAGCACTATATTTTAAGGCTCGCTGCCAGCGCCATTGCTAGTTGGCCACACATGGATTTGTTCCCGGAAAAACTTACGATTCTGAGCACCTATCAGCTCAAATCATTGTGGTTTTGTGAGGAAGAATACATCAATACTCCAAGACCCAAACAATATCTTGTTTAGAAGGAAACAATTCTGATTTCGTCTACAATTGTTGGACAAATAACGTTGTTGATTACCGGCTGGCCAGCCGACTGGTATTCTGCACAACCCAGTATGCAGGCGACCCAAACTCTTGTACTGCACTCTCGTCATCCATGACCGATCCTTTTTTTTTGTGTGAAGACTGTATCACTGACCAGGTCAATTAGAGTCCTACCCTTAGTGCCTTTCTCGGTGGTGGCATAAATGAATGAATAACCTAATATATAAATACCACGACTCCCTGCATCTTTGTGCGGGAACTAACAGGGAACTCCACAACTAATGGCACCTAGTAGTGCCATTAGTTGGACCTACATCGGAGATGGTAGCTTCAGGGAGCCACCAACCCTCACCCAGAAATTGGCATTTCATTACATTCAACGCTGGTTTTTTGTCTGGGGTCACGGTTCTTTCCTTTTTAACCACCGCACTGCGCAGAGCACTTTGAGGCGCTAGATCGGGGGTGCACAGAGCACCTCAGGGTGCTCATAGATATAGCGTAGGATTCAAAACTCCCGCGGCTTTGCCCTTTCTGTGATGTATTTCCACCGGCAAATGTGGTAGTTTGGGCTTCCTCGGGTTCGATTCCGGGTTCCTTTGGGTTCTTTGGTTTCGTTCTGGAGGTTTCTTCCTCTTTGGCCCCTTTTGTGGGTTCAGGGGGGCTTTTAGTTACCTCGTGGGTGACACGGTTCTGCCTTCTGGGGTTCCGGGGTTTCAATGTGTGGTCATGATTCGATAGATCAAGGTGTGATACATACCTGGGCTTCAAGGACTCCATGTGGATAGTTTTACCTGAATTTTACCTGAGGGCCACTAATACTAGTGGCCTCGATGAAGACATGAAGCTGGCTTGTCAAAGGTCCCCCCCATTTACCCAGAGGATCTTTTCTATCTGTTTTTTAAAACCCAGCAGAATTTTGGCGTTTACGGCTTCGGTGGGAAGGCGGTTCCGCTGGTTTACAACCCTATGGTTGAAAAAGCATCTCTGTCCTCTGTTGAAAAAGCATCAAAAGATTTTCTGTCCTCTGGACAGAAAATATCTTTTGGAAGATATGGAGGGAACCTACCAGAAAAAAGTGTTTCATTATATATAATAGTGGGTTTATTTACATTTGCAGTATAATGTAATGAAGCAAAATTAATTTGAGTGTTTTTTATAATGCAATAAATAGCCTTGCAAATGCAAAAGGAACATAAGAATATTATGCATTGTTGAGCAAGGCCTTCAGCACCCTGGGTCAAGTCTCTATAGCATTATTGTATTGTCTTCGTGGATTTTGGCATGCTGTCTTTCAAGTCATTAATCTTAATTCACAAATTATGTTTATCAATGGTACAACCATATTTATTTACAATAGGCTTGCTGAACAATATTTGTAAAGGTGATTTTGATCAGTACAGTAATGAAGTACCCTTAACTTCCTTTCATGGGGCAAATTGGCTGCTATCAAGAGGAGGCAGACATGCATTATCCTATCCATTTTATTATAGGAAATATATGGTTATTGGCACCACTTATTTGTAGTTAGTAAGGTTGCTATATTCCTCTGCTAAATCATTCATTCCTATGAATTATTCTCCAAAATTTTTATTTTCAGATTCTTCAGAAGCTTCCAAGAGCACAGATGAAGCATTAGGACAAAAGGACATATCTTCTGTACTAGGTTCTGACAAGTTTGTAGCAATTCAGTTAGAAAATGGAACTGAAGGTGCTAAGCAATTCTCACAGATCTGTATCCTTTGCTATTTGTAATAATACAAATTAATAAGTACTGGTATTGATTATTTGTGCATATTGTCTGCCATAATTAAAAAAATCAGGATAAGTTTGATAGGTGCTGCTCATCTTCATGCCCAGAAGGAAACAAGATTTTATTGAGAGGATTGGCTACTTCTTGATTAGTGGCAGCTTAGGCAAAAAATCCCTACTGAAACAAGCATTTTGTTTCAATGTATGTTGACCTGGGCAGTTTTGTTCATTCAACATCCGATGGAGTTCTAAGCCTACCGAGGATCAGTGCCAGAACCTTGACACACTTGACCCAGTTAACCAGATATGTTTCTTAAAGTTTGGATGTACATCATCATATATATTTTTGGTTACAGATTTTGTTTAGTAATATTATTAGGATAATAAAAAGTTATAAAATACTTGTTTCATGAATGAATTATTGTATTAGATGGAGATTCTCCAGGCTGTCTCTGGCTCACTGGCTATCTACTGAGCCATTTACCGGAATTGTCTTGGGGGGAAGGGGAGGGGGGACAGAAAGTGAGGGTGTGGGGGAGAGCAGGAGTGAGGAAGTGGGGGAGAGGTTCAGTGAGGGTGAGGGAGGGGACGATAGAGGTAGGCAGCCTGCTTGCCATGTGAGGACCCCCTGATGCCAAAACAAACCCAATACCAACTTTAGGTAATATCGACCGCCAGACCGGTATATGAGGCTCTAGATACCAGTCTCCCAAACCGGTCATTATTACCGGCAGATCGGTATAAAAGAGGCCATTAAATTGAGTGGATACTGTACTGGAAGACTCCTCAACCAAGCTGACGCGAAGAGGTCCATGTCCGGGCACCTGAACGTCCGTCAGAGCCAATGGAGCTAGTCGACATCAACTGTTTCGCTTCGCTTTCCCCTTCAGAGCAGGAGAGATTGCTGAAATAGAGGGAATACAGAGAACATATACAGCGCGCATAGACGCGATAAAGCACCTAAATTATTGGGATCGTCTCAAAGCCCTCCAAATGTACTCACTAGAAAGAAGACGAGAGAGATATCAAATAATATACACCTGGGAGATACTGGAGGGCCAAGTACCAAATCTACACAGTAAAATAACAACATACTGGAGTAAACGATATGGAAGAAAATGCAGAATAGAACCAGTGAAGAGCAGGGGTGCCATAGGCACAAAGAACACTGTATAAGCATCAGAGGTCCACGGTTGTTCAACACCCTCCCAGCAAGCATAAGAAATATTGCCGGAACAACCATGGACATTTTCAAGAGGAAAGTAAATTTATTCCTCCAAGGAATGCCGGACCAACCGGGCTGTGGTGGGTATGTGGGCCTGTGGGCCGCTCCAAGCAACAGCCTAGTGGACCAAACTCTCACGAGTCGAGCCTGGCCTCGGGCCGGGCTTGGGGAGTAGAAGAACTCCCAGAGCCCCATCAACCAGGTATCAAGCAGGTACTGCTTTCATTTACATGGGGGTGTGTATAAGCCATTGCTCCTCGTGCCTCATCTGAGGGGGCCTGGTTCTAGCGCTGGTCCCCAGTAGGCCTAGAACTCCAACGATTGATTGTTGCCACCGTCTAATATATATGCACTTCAACCCGGTATAGCTCCGGGGAGCCAAAGGGGCTCTCCACAGAATATATATTTGCGGCAGTTTCCGGCTGATGGCTGGCTTGGTGCCAACCACCTCGGGGCAATTGCTCGATGAGAAAACATGAATATTTACATCATCTCAAGACTGTTGGGCTTCACCACGGTCAAAGCAAACAATTTTTATATTATTTTCCCGTTATCTGGGAATGCATTTTAACAATACTGTATAGTATTACAAGAAAAAAAGTTTTTATTTTATTTTATGCTCATGTAGATGTTACATGGAATAAACAGTGGCACAACCCAGGGGTTAAGGAAATTTTGTCTGGATTTCAAATAATTTTGCATTTTCTGTATATAATATATATCACCAAATTATAGGGAGCTTACTTATAGCAGATAACAGAACATATTTAGACATTTAAACAAAGATTACTGTAATAAAGGTACAGTATAGGAAATCCTCACGTGATAATTTCTGAACAATTACTTCATCTCTGGTTACATTAATTTTTGCCATTAGCATCCTTAACTCTGTGTCAGATCCATTAGTGTTGGTTCCATCCTTATTTTTTATTAGTGGCCAAACAGGAATACCCCTCGAGGTGCTCGGAGGGCCACTTAATGTAGAAAATTTGCGTCACAAACTTGACAGCCTGGTTCCAAGCCTTGAACAGGTGAGTATAAATTTCTTGCATTAATATTTTTATTAGGAGTTACTAAAAATAAAATTAAAATATTAAAAATATGTAAATACTGGGGAAGGTTAAAGCCAAGGTGTAAAGAAGTAAAATTTTTACCAATGGCTTCAATAATAGCAATTATATTTATGAAACAAATTATTGGTTAACAATAGGCATGGGGTCGTTGGATTGTTTCAAGCGGGAACAGGCAAACCGAGCCCTCACAAAAATATGCTAGGAAAGATGGCCAGATAATGCAAACTTGAACTAGTACCTTGAGAATATACACACAGTAGCACTAGAGAAAGGTACCACTAAAGTCACATACCACTAAGGAGGAAAAAATGCAAACTGGTACAAGAATGCCGTTTCCTCTGTTGACGACGAAAACAAATTGCAGAACATCTTAAATGCTCCACATTATCCCAAGAATGACAAAGAAAGCTATGTAGAGAAATATAAATGAACTAAAGTTGCAAGAATCTCATAAAATCCAGGAGAGGCAGAGAGAGTAAAAGGTCATAAGCAAATTAGAGAAGAATCCAAAATACTTTCTCCTATGCAAAATCTAGAACAAAATCTACACATTGGGCCCTTGTGCAAGGATGATAGAACCGTCACAGATGACAGCAAAGAACTGAGTGAAATACTGAGGTTACAGTTTTTCAGCGAACACCTGAACACATTGTAGATCAATGATCCAAATGAATTCTTTATTAATGTAACACCACCATCAATCCATATATTAGATTTTACTCTAACCCCACTTGACTTTGAAGTAGCCATAGACAGCATGCCCATGCACTCTGCAACAAGCCTAGACTCTTGGAATTCTATATTCATCATGAATTGCAAAAAAAAAAAAAAACCACAATCACAAGGCCCTAAACATCTTTTGGAGACAAAGCCTAGATACTGCCGTTATCCCTGACATGCTTAAAACAGAGGAGATGCATCTCTTCAAGGAGGTAATAAAGCTAATGCAAAAAATTATAGACCAATAGCTCTAACATTGCACATCATAAAAATCTTTGAAAGAGTGCTAAGAAATAAGATCCCAAAACACGTGGAATCACTGTGTCTACATAACCTTGGGCAACATAGGTTCAGAACAGGGCACTCTTGCCTCTCACAATTGCTAGACCACTGTGACTTGGCCTTAGATGCCATAGAAGACAGACAGACAACGCTGTAATACACACAGTTTTCGCTAAAGTTTTCTACAAAGATGACTGTGGTGTTATTGATATAAAATGCGCACAAAAGGAATTACTGGCAAAGTAGGGAGATGGATATTTAACTTCCTTACAGACAAAACCCAGTGTGTAATAGTCCACAGAATAAAATCTGAATCGTCCACCATGACAAGCTCAGTCCCTTCTCAGTACAGTGCTTGCTTCTGTATTTTCCTCATCCACATAAACAGGCATATACAAGGATACAAACTACAGTACTGTATCATCCTTTGCTGATGACACTAAAATTTTAATGAAAGTAGACAATATAGAGGACACATTAAACCTCCAATTTGATGTCAATCAAGTTTTTCAGTGTGCCACAGAAAATAACATGATTAATTAATAAGGATAAATTCCAGTTATTGTGCAATGGAAAAAATGAAAATATCAAAGCAGAAACCACATACAAAACAGTCAAACCACACTATTGAAAGAAGCAGCAGTGTAAACGATTTAGAAGTAATTATGTTGGAAGACCTTACTTTTAACGAACACAACAAAGTTGCTTTCACAACTGCAAGAAAAATGACAAGATTGGATAGCAAGATCCTTCCAAACAAGAGATGCCATACCAATGATGATGATACTTTTCAAGACATTAGTGCTCTCTAGAGTGGAATATTGTTGCACACTAACAGCCCCATTCAAAGCTGGAGAAATTGCTGACCTGAGAGCGTGCAAAGATCGTTTATTGCTAGAATCCACTCATTAAAACAATCTAAATTATTGGGACCACCAAAAATGTTTAAATCTGTTTTTCCTAGAGTACAGGTGGGAGAGTTACAGTGTATATAATAATTTACACTTGTAAAATATTAATCGGACTGGTTCCAATTCTGCACACCTAATAACACCATATGAGACCAGAAGGCATGGTAGGATATGTAAAATAGCCCCACTGAAAAACATAAGTGCAATAGGCACACTGAGAGAAAACTCGATCAACATCAAAGGGTCAAGACTTTCAACACTCTCCTCCTAGACATACTGGGCATAACTGGCCAACCTCTCGGTATTAAAAAAAAAAGAACCCGACAAGCCCCTTCAAAGGATACCTGATTAACCAGACTAGACTTGTATGTCATGCTGCAAACAGCTGCATTAAACAACCTAGTTGATCAGGCCAGCAACCAGGAGGCCTGGTCAGAGACCAAGCTGCAGAGATGTTGATCCTTGAAATCAACAACAGGTAGTCAACAGGTAGGAAGGTTAGGCATGTCTGTAAATAAGTTTGGTTCGGTATAAATAGAAGCTGCTTCACATGGACCAATAGGCATTTTGTAGATTCCTATATTATGTTCTTAAGTAATGTAATCGTTTTGTCTCCTGAGTTACCTCGTATACAATCTATACTTCAGAGAGAATATGATGTATGCTCAGGGTATTCTGCCACTCCTGTACAATCCCTTCCTGCTCCACATTCCAGTGTTAGGGTTGTGTTAGTGCTGTTGGCCAGGATGGATGTGAGAGTGAAGGATAGGGCCTGTGGTATACTGTAAGCCATGGCCTTACAGATCAAGTTATCACCAGATAAGCCTAGCCTCGGGCTGTTCTTGTTTCAGAACAACTCTCAAAACCAACTACAGGCACACTAGTTTGAAGTATTAGGCAGAGTTGGTGCTGCCACCTAGCTGTGGCAGGGATAAGTATATGTTGGCTGGGATTTGTCATTAGATGATTTAGAGTGCCATTGGAGAGCATGCATATGACCTCACTGGGACACTGTTGGTTTTGAGCTTAGGATTAAAGTTAAGTCCTCAAGCTTTATTTGACTGGATTTATACTTTCTCCAGTGACCCACTGTAATGTGCAGTTGCATACTAGTTGTCAGGGATCAGTAGAATATGCTGTCAAAAATATGCTTTCACAGTTTAAAAGCATTTGAACAATGCAATATAATCCATTGAGCACAATTGGCTTCATGAAAGCTTTAATTTGACAATTATATTGTAGAAACTTGACCCCAATAGTAGAAGATTGGTTAAAGTTTATGCCCAATGATTTTGAAATACTATATTTTCAGGCTGCTGCAGCCAGTCAAGATGGTAGCAGCCAGGATACCTCTTCATGTGAAGTTTCTCAATCTATCATTAGTAGTGATCTAAAAGAGGAACATCAGGATGAGTTGCAAGCAGCAGGTGGAATGCTTGAGAATTCTGTGAATACACCCACAGGAGAGCCAGGCTTGCCATCAGTGAGTGAAAATGAGGCCTTAGTTGAGAGCAACGATACTAATGAAAATGTTCAGTCAGCTGAAGATATTGGTGCTACAGGTAAGCATTATGAAATAATTAGTAAGTTTACCAAAGTTTAAAGCTATTACTGTAATATTTCTGCGTTCAGACAACGCTAGAACATATCATAAGTACTCTGGCAGTAAATGTTATGATAAGTTAAAACGGGTCATTCAGTTGCTATTCATGAACATTCGTATATTGCATAATCTATTATAACTTAAATTAGGGTTTTGCATCTGTTCTCCAGAAGATTTGTTTGGAAACATTTTGATAGCAAATTTATAGTTGTGACCCCAAGAAAAATAACCAAGTAAACATGAAATGATTATAAGCATTATTAAGCATCGCTGAGGGCTTCAGGTTTGTTCTACAGTGCATGGAGAAGACCTAAATCTATTATAAATGATCTTTTGGTTTTGCATCTATTCTCTAGATAAAAATAAAGGTGGAAATACCCAACAAATTAGGTAGAAAACTAAATGATTGTAAAATATTTAGCTTTGCTGCTGAGTGGCCCATAAGCCACCTGAGGAGTGAATATTTACGGTCAGGATTGCACAGAGTGACTGGACCAGGAAAGTTTTAATAAATAAGGGTTGTGGTGGTGCTACTCTATGTTATATGACATTTTGAAACTACTGACGGTTTTGGCATCCACCACCACCTCATAACTTGTTCCAACTGTTTACCCCTCTGTTTGCAAAAGAGAACTTTCAAATGTGTTTTCTGCAGATTTTCTGAGGGGAGCCCCGGAGCTATCCAAGATGATATGAATGTATTAGACCCTGGCATCAGTCAAAGTGAATGGAGTTCTTAGGCCTACCAGGGACCACGAGCCAGAACCTGGCCCCCTCTGATAGGTATGAGGAGCAATGGCCTATAGAACCCCCCTCCTTCCCGTGTGGTTGAAGCATTCTATGTCTGCCATCAACTGGGTCAGGCACCCAGAAAGGTAGGCACCCCAAAACAAACCCTATCTGGTTGAAATATTGCTACTGAAAGCCAAACTGTTGGACAGAACTCCCCAAATATAAACAAGCAAACAAGCATGACGTCACAATCGTCACCTCGCCACTGTCTTTCACAGCTTCCTCCTCTCCAGGAAGGGAAAGGAGGAACCCCAGACCCCCACGGTGGCTATCCACACCCCAGTTCTTCAGCTGATGGGATACGGCAAAGTTGTGTGGCTCTAGCTCCGGATTGTTGTAATGTGCTGTCCCCTGTTTAGGTACTGCTCTTACGGTGGCGTGCGAGCTAGGAGTAATATTCCAAGGTACTCGGGCTGCATGTGCTTAGGGTCACCTTCCATTAGTGCCCTGTAAGTACCGCCCTTGGGGTTCTCTTCCACAAGACACCTTGGGTCTACCTCTGTTGGGATTTTGCTGCTTGTCGGTCGACCACCCCTTAAGTGGTAGTTATTGCACTGGTAGGGGCACGGGGAACTGCAGCTAGTTTTCACCTATAACACCAGCCAGCTCAATTCCCTCTGGGTACGCTGTCCTCTTACGAGGTTTTTCTTTTCTTTTTGTTCCTGCCTGGTGGGGGAGTCTGCCTTGGTGTTCCTTCCCCCTTATACACTAGAGTTTGCTTTTGTTTGCTGGAACCCCTTCTTCGCCATCGTTAGTGTGCACGTCCCAGGGTTCAGCTTTAACAGTGTTGATTGGTAGCTTGGGTGTCGGTTATCAGTACCGTGCCTGGGATTACCCTTAGCAGACCTAGACCCAGGGGACCTTCCCCTGGGAAACCCCACGGGGGCATTCGGTTCTGATGGATGCGGCCCCTGAGTTCCCTCTTGCCTTGTGCGAGTTTGAGGGTTGCTCTGTCTCCTTGTCTCAGGGCGACGCTCATTGTTTTTGCCTCCATCTGTTGGGTCGGTAACATATTTGACCCTGAGTTCTACGAGTTTTGTTGCTTGTTTGTGACAAAATTCACTCAATCTGATAATGACATTATTTGGGTGCAGACGGCTTGCACGTTGCAGGATAGGTTTAAGTTGCTGCAACATGCTTGCTTGGTTGCTTCCCCAGATGCCCCGAGGCTACCCCGTTTTGCTTATTGGGACCCGGACTTGGGGGTGTTGGTCACTTCGGCCTTGGTTCTGTCCGCACCCCCTCTTTCTTTCCCTGCTGTGGTTCATTCAGTCCTCCTCCCCCCCCCCTTTAGGGGGGGGAGGACTGAATGATAATATGATAATAATGTTTGTTTGATAATATGTCTTGGGCTCATATTCAGGCGCAGGGATTTGGAGGCTGCACAGGTTCCTGGCCGCCCATTATTTTGTGAGCGTGTCTGCTCCTGGGCGTTCTTGTGTTACTTTGGGTCGCAGGTTGCAGCCTGTTGTCTTGACTTCGCGTTGCGGAGTTTGTGGCAGCCGCTTCCTGGGTCAGCCCTTTCTTTTCCTTCTCTGAGTATGTAGCTCCAGGGAGCCATAGGGGCTCCCCACAGAAAACCAGCATTGAATGTAATGAAACCCCAATTTCTGGGTGAGCCCTGGAGGCTTCCTGGCAACTCTCCCTCCCACCGGTCGGTTTGTTGAAGCTTAGCTTCCAAACTGGAGTGCTGTTTAACCAGCCGGCTCGGTGAGGTCTGGGGCCATCCCCTTCTCGGGAAGGGGAGGGCTGCGCGGACGAGCAGCGCGGCAGTAGTGTGTTACGTTTGCTTGTTTCCTTGGGATTGTAGGGAGTGCTATCTCTCTGTTCAGTTTTTGTTGTCAGTTTTTTACCATGTTGGGTTTTTGTTATGCCGACCATTCTGGGTGCATAACCCTGGTCGATGGCAGATAAGAAAAACCCCCAACCACAGGGGGGGTTTTCCAGGGCCATTGCTCCCTACAACCTCTGAAGGGGCCAGGTTCTGGCTCATGGTCCCTGGTAGGTCTGAACTCCATAGCTAATGCTCCCGGTCTAATATAACATACATTAGCCCGATAAGCTTTGGGAGTCTCTGGGGCTCACCCAGAAAATATCGTTTCATTACATTCAACACTGGTTTTTTAATTTATGTATACACAGGTGTTCAAAAATGGTAGAGCTTCAGCATGGGTCTCAACATAAAATTTCTGGTCTGGGTGGCCATTGTCTGCCCATTTGTGAAATGTTTGTACAGGTATTTCTATTGTTCCTCCTGCTATTACACTGAAGATATCAACAATGCACCTGTAGTCATGATTAAATACCTGGAGTGTATGATTAAATACCTGGAGTATATGATTAAATTCCTGGGGTATTTAATTAAATATCTGTAGTATGTGATTGAATTCCTGTAGTGCATGTTTAAATACTTGGGGTATATGATTACATGCAGTGCTTGCAGTGCATGATTAAATATGTACCTGGTATGTGACATATACCATTGGTATGTGATTGAATACCTGAGTATATGATTAAATACCTGTTGTATATGATGAGAGAGTAATTTCTACAAGCAAAGTTAATAGTAGTTGAGTGAGTACAAGAAAGCAGAGATTTATTAGGAAGGGGAGCATGAGCAATTGATAAAGAAGGCTAGGTGGGAGCTGGTTGTCAGAACAGTGAGTGCTTGACATGTCTGTACATGACAACTCACTGGAGCACTTTACACTTAGTCTTGTCAAGTGGTGTTCTGCTGTAGAGGGTTTGTTGACATCTTGCTGTACTGGTTTTCTCTGATGCTGTTTAGTATGTGTTAGGTATGGTGATGGATGGGTATGATTTTTATTACCATATATTGAACCTTTCCAGCCACAATATTGCACTATCCTATTTTTTAAGTGCAAGAACAGAGGAATGATGATTGCCATTGTTCCTAATATATTTGAATTAATACTTGCAGGGTTTGAGAATGGCAGTTCTAGTGAAACTTCTACAGAACAGTCTATAGAGGAGAAAGTGGAAAGAGCTAAGTTCATACTAGCACAGAAGCAGGCTAAATTGGCACAGGAGAAAGCTGATGTAAGTGCATTATCTATCAAATTTGGACTATTAACATACTTCATCATAATCTTTGCTTAGAATGTTATTAAATTAGATCTGCTAAATTAAATTACATAATTGAGAAAAGGGAAAAAACCTGATCACAAAACAAAAGGTAAAAGTGCATTATTGATTGATCTGGGTATTGAGTGACAGTTAACCCTTTGAAAAAGCTGCACATACTACCTCATAAAACTTGAGTAGTGTAATAAACCAGATGTTGTTGGTACTGTATTTGAAAATGCGGCAATTTACTGCTCAGGTTTGAATCTGAAGTGCGACGTTTTTCTCAACAGTCAAATACACACATTTTCAAACATTGTCACTTCTTTTATATCCCTATAAAAGGCAGGGTTTAGTTTGGGATGTACCCCAGGAAAACTCTTTGTCAGCATGTTTCCAGAATTTTCTGAGTTATGAGGCGCACCTTCCCGACTGTGGAGCCATTGCTTTGGACACTTTTCGGCAGAACTGGTCGAGGTGGGGTTCCCCGTTCTTCGCCATTACCTGCGCACCAAGGCCTCGGTGGCCAGGGATGTGCTTTGAGTTGACCCAGTTTCACTTCTTCCCTGTTCCAGAGTTTGGGTCTCCCAGGTCGTCCGCAGGGTTATTTGGTTCAGCCATCCTGCGGTCAATCCTATTGCCCATGATATTCGTAAGTTTGCTGTGTTGGCTGCCGTCTTTGGTAACATGTCTTGGGCTGACATTCAGGCACAAGGTTTTTGGAGGCCGAACAGGGTGTCCAGGCCGCTCACCACCTAGTCAATGTTCCTGGCCCTAGTCGTGCATGTACTTACCTAATTGTGCTTGCGGGAGTTGAGCTTTGGCTTTTTGGTCCCGCCTCTCAACTGTCAATCAACTGGTGTACAGATTCCTGAGCCTACTGGGCTCTGTCATATCTACATTTGAAACTGTGTATGGAGTCAGCCTCCACCACATCACTGCCTAAAGCATTCCATTTATTAACTACTCTGACACTGAAAAAATTCTTTCTAACGTCTCTATGGCTCATCTGGGTACTAAGTTTCCACCTGTGTCCCCTTGTTCGTGTTCCACCCGTGCTGAAGAGTTTGTCTTTGTCCACCCTGTCAATTCCCCTGAGAATTATGTAGGTAGTTATCATGTCTCCCCTTATTCTTCTGTTTTCCAGGGATGTGAGGTTCAGCTCCTTTAGCCTTTCCTCGTAGCTCATTCCTCTCAGTTCCGGGACGAGCCTGGTGGCATACCGCTGAATCTTCTCTAGCTTTGTCTTGTGTTTAACTAGGTATAGACACCAGGCTGGAGCTGCATACTCCAGGATTGGTCTTACATAAGTGGTATACAGGGTTCTGAAAGATTCCTTACACAAGTTTTTAAAGGCAGTTCTTATGTTGGCCAGTCTAGCATATGCCGCTGGTGATATTCTTTTGATGTGGGCCTCTGGGGACAGGTTCGGTGTGATATCAACCCCCAATGTGCCACATTGGAGCTGCGGTTGCAGCCAGTTATCTCTACTTTGAGTTGAGGAGCAAATGACGACCGCCTCTCAAGTAAGTCCCTCTTGTTTATCTTTGGTGAAGTAACTCCTGGGAGCCCAAGGGGCTCCCCCCCCAGAAAACCAGCATTGAATGGTCAGTAATGAAATGCCATTTTCTGGGTGAGACCCAGAGGCTCCCTGGCAACCCTCTCTCCCTACGGTCAGCGGTTTTCGCATGTTTTGACGTCCAGCCTCAGAACTGGAGGGAGGTGGATATCTGGCATGGGGAGGGGGGGGGCTAGAGCTCCCTCTTTGCCCTCCTTGAGAGGGGGGAGCTGTGCAGACAGCAGCGCAGTGACAGCTGTGACAACGTGCTCATGTGCTCATTTTTTGTTTGCGAAGTTCTGTCCAACAGTTTGGCTTTCAGTACCAATTTTGTGACCAGATAGGATTTGTTTTGGGGTATATGACCCCAGTCAATGGCAGACATAGAATGCTTCCAACCACACGGGGGTTTCTATAGGCCATTGCTCCTTGTGCTTCTCTGAGGGGTCCAGGTTCTAGCTTGTGGTCCCTGGTAGGCCTAAGAACTCCTTTCGCTTTGATTGATGCCAGGGTCTAATACATTCATGTCAGCCCGGATAGCTCCGGGTCTGTGTGTCTCGTCCAGAAAATGGCATTTTATTACATTCAACGCTGGTTTTCTGGGGAGGGGGAGCCTCATCGGCTCCCCGAGGCTATCCAGGCTGATATTGCTAATATTAGACTTCAGCATCAGTCAGTGTGAATGGAGCCATACTAGGAGCCTCTGTGTTTTTATCAACAGCAAATGAATCATTACCATGTATATATTTCAGGCAAAATGTGTGCTATGTGCAATTTTAAGATTTAGACTTAAAAAAAGACTTGTATACTGTATATTATTACTGTATGTGTAAATACATGGTGTCTGTATGTTTATACTCATATATCCATACATACCTATATTTTTAAAGTTGTACATAATAAACACCACCTTTGACACATCAATGTTAGCATGAAAAATTAAATTAATAAAGTGAGAAACATTGAAAATAAATCGACAAAGTTATTCCCATGCAGCACCTTGTCTAGTTTCTACCAGAAACAAGAAACTTCTCCAGGGCACTACAGCTAGACCACAAGAAGTAGAGACTTTTTATTGTGTTTTTTCTACTTTCTCGAGGTTAAATAACAATGTAAAAAAAAGTAATGTTTTAGAACTTTTTTCTGGAAGGAGCCCCGTCGGCTCCCCGGAGCTTTCCAGGCTGATTTGTTAATGTCAGACTTTGGCATCAGTCATGTGTATATGGAGTTCTGTGGGCCTACTGGGGACCACGAGCCAGAACCTGGCCCCCTCAGAGAGGCATGGGGGAGCAATGGCCTATAGAAACCCCAGTGTGGTTGGAAGCATTCTATGTCTCCCATCGACCTGGTCAGGCACCCAGAAAGGTAAGCGTCCCAAAACAAACCCCTATTCTGGTGAAAATTGCTACCAAAAAGCCGAACAAGTGGATAGAACTCCTCAAAAAGAAACGATCAAACGAGCATGACATCACACGTCACAGCGCCGCTGTCTGCACAGCTCCCTCCTGCCCCGGGAGGGGGAAGGGGAAGCCCCAGACCCCCGCGCCGGCTATCCACCCGTCAGTTATGAGGCTGATGCTATAGGTAAAGGTCGTGTGGTCTGACTCTAGTGGTTGTTTTAGTTCTGTACCTAGTGTGTGGTGGTTGTCTTCTAGGCTGCATGCGCCTAGGGTTTCCTTCCCTAGGTGCCCAGTAAGTACTGCCCTTGGGGCTTGGGTTCAGCTTCTGCTAGGCCGTTTAATGCTTGGTTTTCGGCCGCCCTTTGTGTGCTAGGTTGTTCTGTCTCCCTTGTTCGCCTTTGGGTAAGGGGCAGTTTGCACTGGTGGGACGCAGGGTACTGTGCAGCTTGTTTTCACCAATCATAGTGGCCGGCTCTGTTCTGACTGGGTACGCTCTCCTCTTGCAGGGTTTTCTTTTTCTTTTTGTTTGTCTGCCTGGAGGGGGTTTTGCCTTGGTTCTTGCTCCCCTATGTACCGAGTACTCTTCCTTCTTCCGGTGGTCTCCCCCTGCTAGGTCCCCGTGAGTGGCAGCAATTTTCCCCAGAATAGGGGTTTGTTTTGGGACGCTTACCTTAATGGGTGTCTGACCCAGTCGATGGCAGCCACAGAATGCTTCCAATCACACGGGGGTTTCTTTAGGCCATTGGTTCCCATGCCTCTCTGAGGGGCTAGGTGCTGGCTCGTGGTCCCCGGTAGGCCCACGGCACTCCATACATATGACTGATGGCGAAGTCCGACATTAGCATATCAGCCTGGAAAGCTCCGGGGAGTCTCCGGGTCTCACCCAGAAAATGGCTTTTCATTACCTTCAACGCTGGTTTATTTCACACCACGGGAATGTCACTATTGACATTCCACATTCCACACTATTCCTCTTCCACAGTTGCACAGTGGAAAGGTTAATCATTGTTCTTACTTTATACTCTGAACCTGGTAAAGAGCAGAGTATTTATGATACTGTATATGATGTTGATAAAGACCAGAGTACTGTATGATGTATGAGCCTGGTAATGATGATAACACTATGATGTAGATTGTAATACTGTATATGTAAATGTATTTTCCAAATGTAATTTTCTTACATCATATTTAAATTGTTAGGATGAAAAACGGAAAGAAATTGAACGAAGGAAAATGGGTCAAGAAATAGCTAAGAAGAAACAAGAACAAGAAGATGAAATGCTCAGAGCATCAGTAAGAGAGAGGAAGAAGGATAAAGAAGAGGAGAGATTAGCACGGGAAAGAGTTAAGTAAGGAATTTCTCCTTTAAGATTCGTGGCCTAGGTCACTCATCTGGTGGTAATGATTTCCATTGAGCAACAAAGAATTGTAAAGATTGTACTGTATTGATTTGCATCCATAATAAGCCATAAAAATAACTTTCTAATGCTTCATGTTACCCTCAGAGCTCAGATTGCTGCGGATAGAGCAGAGCGTGAAGCTCGTGCTGCCTTGTTGCATGGTGAACAGCCTTCAAGTCAAGGCTCAATTCCAGTTTCTAATGCTTCGTCATCTTCACCTTCCTCATCTTCCGCTTCAAATAGGTTAGTCAGTGGTAATTCCTGTGGGGGTAGCCTCGTCGGCTTCCTGGAGCTGTTGGACTGAGATTAGCTAATATTAGTACGTGGCTTCAGTCATACATTGTTGTCATGCCTACCAGGGACCACTAGCCAGAACATGGTCCCCTCAGAGAGGCACAGGGAGCAATGGCCTATGAAACTCTCACGTGTGAAAGTATTCATGTCTGCCATCGACCGGTTGAGCACCCAGAAAGGTAGGCACTCCAAAACAGACCCCTCCTGGTAGAAAAATTGCAACCTAAGACCGAACAGAGGCTAGGAACTACCCTAAGGAAAACAACCTAACAAGCAACACGTCATCACACCGCTCATTCGTGCCAACCCCCTCCCACCGGGAGGGGGAGGGGAGTGTCCCGGCTAATTGAGTCAGCAGCCGGACCCTCAGTTTGTCGACCGAAGCTAAATGGGACAGATGTCTACTCAGATCTCGACTGATAGGCTTTTTATCCGGGCGGTGTTCCCAGTATAAGTTGGTGTGGTGGCCAGGAGTATTACCAAGGGCTGCATGCACTTAATCACTGCACTGCGCAAAGCGCCTGCAGACGCTCGACGGGTGGTGCGCAATGCACCTCAGGGATCTTATAGGTATAGCGTACCATTCAAAACTGGCCCGCAGTGACACGAGTACGAAATGGATACCTGAGGGTCCCAGTGATCATCCACCATTTTGAAAAAAAATCCCAGCATGCCCCAGGGCTGTGGGGAGCCTCAGTTTCAAGGAAGCAACCATGTCTGATGCATCATCTACAAGCTCCCACTCCACGATCAGCCGTGGTAATACAAAACGTCTCTCTGAGGAGGAAATACGCGACATGTTGTATGATGATGGTGCCATGGATGATGATTTAGACTACGATCCAGAGAAAGACCTTACACAGAGGTCTGACACGAGTGAGGGAGAGACTGAGGTGGAGGATGTCGCGAGTGTGTACAGTACACGCACCTCGCCTGGCCTGCCTCGCCGCCCTGGGTCAACATTGCTAGTCACCACCACGATGTGTGTGTCCTCTGATGCAAGTTTATTCAGTGACATTACTTGTCATGAATCATTCTCGGGCTTCAGTGACATAGACTCCGATACAAGTAGTGTTGACGACCCGAGAACAAGCAGAAGGGTGTTATTAATCGGGATTTTGCTGCCCCAGCAACACGCTGAGGCATGCGGCAGCGTATCACGTGGCCAGAGGAAAATGACGACAGTGTTCCCTCGATATCAAGTGTTCGTGGTAGGCCTACGCTACGCGGAACAGCCTCATCCCCTGTAATACCTATACGCTGCTCTAGCACAAGACAACGGAGCCGTGGTTTTGGTGCTCGTGGTGGTGTAGGCCGTGGTGAGAGATTTGTGAGAGATTGTTAGTGGAATAATGGTGTGACACCATTATTCCACTATACAGGTGACGATATGGCTGAAATCGACTATTTCCTGGTTTATTTTGATAATGAATTCATAAACCATCTTGTGACAGATGAACAGATATGCTCACAGCCTCATAGACACCGGCATTTTACCTGCCTCACGCATGACACAATGGAAGGACACCACAAATGACGAAATGTACGTGTTTCTCGCGTTAAGCATGATGATGAAACCCTCTGAAAAACACATCATCCAGGCTTATTGGAGCAAAGACAGCCTTGTTCCATCCCCCATGTTCAACAGGTACATGTCACATGATAGGTTCCTGTTGCTTCTCAGGTACAGTACCTGCACTTTGAAAACAATGAAAACGAGGACAGACACGACAGACTTTGGAAGGTGCGGAAGATTTTTAGCGACATGAAAGGCAAGTTCCGTGACTATTTTGTACCAGGACAGAATGTGGTGATTGACGAATGGCGAGTCCTCTTCAAGGGACGACTTGCGTTCAAGCAGTACATCCCATCAAAGCTGCACAGGTTTGGACTAAAGTTGTTTGTCCTGTGCGACTGCGAAACAGGTATAATCATGGACATAATACTGTATTCAGGTACAGATGTCAACATACCAGCTAAGATCCACACGGGTCCTCCGGCAGTGTTGTCAAAACCCTCATGGAACCGTTGCTGAACACGGCATATACTGTTCACCGACAACTACTATACCAGTCCCTTGTTAACCAGATACCTCCTTGACCACAACACTGGCGTATGTGGCACTGTGAAGGCCCACAGGACAGAAATGCCAGTGTTTGGCATAGGTATTGCAGTGGGTGATTGCCAGTTGCACAAGTGTGACAACATGTTATCAGTGTGGTGGAGGGACCGACGCAAGGTGAATGTGTTGACAGCAATTCACACCGGTGCCATGTTGAACAGTGGCAAAGTGCACTTTCAAACACGCTTCCCAATATATAAACCTGACTGTGTCATAGACTATGTCAACATGAGCCTAATAGATACACTGTAAATGTGACATGATGCTCGGTGCCGTCGAGTGCATGCATAAATCTGTGGACGAAAAAATTATTTTTCCACCTCATTGATGTTGCAGTGCTCAACTGTTTCAACATGTATCTAGTGATCAAATCCACAAGAGCCGTGACGAGGATTCGAACCTGTGCCCAAGAGCATCCCAGACGCTGCCTCAATCGACTGAGCTTAAGTTCAAATCCTCATCACGGCCCTGGTGGATTTGTTCATTTGATACATCACGCTATTGTGATTTCTGTGTGTAATGAAGTAAGGGTGAAGAGGTAGAACGGCCAATTGACATAGCTTTAGTACATGGGGGAATTGTGTAAAATCCTGGTTTGTGTCTCAGAGAGGCTGCAGGATCCAAGTAAATTCAGTAGAATTTCTGGTTGCAATTCTTAAACCATGTCGTAGCTCAGTCGATTAAGGCAGCATTTGGGATGCTCTTGGACGCAGGTTCGAATCCTCGTCACAGCCCTTGAGGATTTGTTTATTTGATACATCACGCTATTGTGATTTCTGTGTGTAATGTATCTAGTGAAATCAAGCAAGAGACACCAATACGGACATTCAGTGTTGCTCTAGTTTCACAACTGCTCGTGAAGTATGCGAAGGAGGGCTCTATTGCTACACGCGGGGTGTCAGCAACAATACCATGCGCAGTTCCAGACAGACTGAGGAGTAACGAAATGTTCGGTGTACACAAGCTCGAGTATATGTCAGACACAGCATCACAGGACAAGGGTAAACATGTCTGTGTTGTATGCAAGAATACTCAACGTAGAGAACGCAAGCAAAGATGCATCTCCACCTCCAGGCGCTGGTGGCTGTGTGGATAGCACCCTGGACACGTGATCCTGTGGCCCGGGTTCGATTCCCGACGCCGGCGAGAAATGATGGGCAAAGATTCTTTCACTCTGATGCTGCCCCTGTTACCTAGCAGTAAATAGGTACCTGGGAGTTAGTCAGATGTCATGGGCTGCTTTCTGGGTGTGTGTGTGTGGAAGAAAGAAAAAGAAAAAGTAGTTAGTAACAGTTGATTGACAGTTGAGAGGTGGGCCGAAAGAGCAGAGCTCAACCCCCGCAAGCACAACAAGGTGAATACCTAGTTCGTTGAGTGAAAAGTTCCACTATGCCCCGTCGACTGTTTCACAGCATATCACATACTTGTGGAGTTCTGAGTGTGTTGATGGTGAATGTATATAGTGTGTGATAGTGTATAGTGTGTAAATATGTTGTAAATATACTTGAATGAACATGAAACATTGGAAATATGAGCAATATATGTGGAGACATTTGTGATGCATGTAACACAGTGTCTTGGGACAGTATGGATGTTGTACTGCCATAATATTGTGTATGTGTTCATTATACATAGGATTGGCAAGAAAAAACAAAACAAATGCATTTGTAAATGTACACAAAAAATGAAAAAAAATTATTTGTGGCAACTCGCGCAAGTTGAAGCTAGTGCGCGAATGGCTCTCTCTTACCTCTCTTCTCTTCGGTTTGTGGTGACACATTTTGTTCCAGATTGTTTCTCCCTGGCTTTTCCTGTTGGTGTTGGGGGTCGGGTCGGGAAGCTTCATGCTCTCCTCCGGCGCAGGGGTTTCTGCTCTTTTGGCTCTGGTGTTTGGTTTGTTCAATTGCACTCGTCTTCTCCTTTTCTGCGCAGACTGACACGTCTGCTTTCCGGAGGGGTCCTTGGGCTGTTGATGCTTGGTTGGTTCTGTTGGTGATGCTTAACCCTTAAGGCACTGATGAGGTACTCCTGGCCACCGCATAACACAACACACGGCAGTGAACGCCACACAAGGCAAACACCGCCTAGGAAACTGATGCCAGAGAAGCGTCTATCCCTGTTGACATTAGCTTACGAACTGAAGCTAGGCGGCCGGCGCGGTAGGTCCGGGGCTCCCCCCTCCCCCTTTCGGGGCGGGGAGGGGGGAGCGGTCGATCGGAGCAGCAGTAAAGTGTGATGTTTGCTTGGGATTGTAGGGCGTTTCTACCTCTCTGTTCATTTTTTGTTTTAGTTTTTTACCATGTGGGGTTTGTTTTGTTATCCCTACCTTTCTGGGTGCCTAACCCCAGTCAATGGCAGATAAGGAAAACTCCAACCACAAGGGGGTTTTCCAGGGCCATTGCTCCCTGAAACCTCTGAAGGGGCCAGGTTCTGGCACTGGTCCCTGGTAGGTCTGAACTCCTTAGCTAATGTCCCAATCTAATATAACATACATTAACCCGATAAGCTCCAGGGAGCCTCCGGGGCTCACCCAGAAAATGGCGTTTCATTACATTCAACGCTGGTTTTTTGGGTGAGACCCGAAGGCTCCCCAGCATCCCTCCCTCCGGTCGGCGGTTTTTCGCGTGTTTTGACATCCAGCCTCAGAACTGGGGTGTAGATCACTGGCGCGGTAGGTCTGGGCCTCCCCCTTCCCCCTCCCAGGGAAGGGGGAGCTGCGCAGACGGCGGCGCAGGTAACGTCACACTAGTTTGCTCGTTTTTGTTTGGGGAGTTCTATCCACTTGTTCGGCTTTTGGTAGCAATATTTTCACCAGAATAGGGGTTTATTTTGGGATGCTTACCTTTCTGGGTGCCTGACCCGGTCGATGGCAGACATAGAAAGCTCCATAACCACATGTGCATTTCTATAGGCCATTGCTCATGCCTCTCTGAGGGGGCCAGGTTCTGGCACGTGGTCCCCGGTAGGCCTAGAACTCCATTTACATTGATGCCAAAGTCTAATATATCCATATCAACCTGGATAGCTCTGGGGAGCCTCCGGGTCTCACCCAGAAAATGGAGTTTCATTACATTCAATGGTGGTTTTATGAAAAAAATTTCAATTCATGTATTTGAATCAATATTATTATATTATATTAAGAACATGAATTGCTGACTTTGTAATGTTAGTTTAGGTTTGGTCATATTTCTTCATTGCTTTTAACTCAATTTAAAAAAAAAATCATATATATAATATAGTGGAAAGCTTTATCGTTTCATATGCTTGACATTAAAAACTAATAAAATTAATTTTGTCTTGCAGTAACATTTCTAGACTGAAGTTTCGCCTGCCTGATGGCTCTTCAAGTATAGCACAGTTTCCAGCAGAAGCCACTTTATCCGAGGTGCTGCTGCATATCCAGCAGAACGTCCAGCTCCCATTTTCTAGTTTCAGCCTAGGATCCACAGTTCATTCGGGACCTTTCACTCCCGAAGACTATAATTCCTCACTCAGAGATCTAGGGCTGGTTCCTTCGGCAATTATGGTAGTCTTGCCTGTAAGTTACTTACTCTTAAACTGTACAGTAAGTTTTTTCAAATTCAGTGTTAAAATTCAACATGTACTGTACTGTATTAATGAATATTTTAGTTATTTCAGTTGTATGTTTTTTTCTGGAGGGTTTTCTTTTCCTTCCTGCTAGCTCCTTGTAGATATTTTGCTGAAATTGCCCCATATTAAAAGGTCTGTTTGGCCTACCGGGACCAGGGGCTTCCTCACGGAAGTGCAGAGAGCAAGTCTCTGTTCAGCAACCCAGAAAAAAAAAGCCTGCAGAAAGTCAGCACAACTTTACAGATAACTGGAGGGGGTTCAAACAACACACCACCTTAAAATCACCAAACAACTCTGCAAATCATTCACACAGAATAAGGGACTTATTCAAACTACCTCGAAACTCATTAGTACCAATAACCCACCACCAGGCAGTCTGGCCCTCAGCCACTACCCAGGTCACTTCTGTTGCTGATGTAATCTTGTCAAGTCCTGCTAGAAGTGGTTTTGGTCCGTCAGATCACGGGCATGCCCCACAACTTCATGGTTTATGCTGACTCTCTTTGGACTCTGTTGTTCTGTGGGGGCCATTTCCTCCATGCATGGTTTTTCTTTTAGTCTAGGCTTCACACACGTGTGTGTGTGTGTGTTTTAGTTCCAACTTGTTGAGTGAGCTTGGCTCCCTCCCTCCCTCCCTCCGAATGGCGGTTTTGTTTTGTTTTTTATGCTCAGCCTCCGAACTGAAGGTGTGGGCAGCTGCCACGGGGGTCCAGGGGAGGGGACTGGCAGTGGATGACATTTGCTTGTTTCCTTTTCTTTGGGGAGTTCTGTGTGTCTGTTCGGTCTTGGTTTTTTTTAGCAATTTCCTACCAAGTGGGGTTTGTTTTGAGAGGCCTACCTTTCTGGGAGCCTAACCCCGGTCGATGGCAGATACGGTATAACCCCCAAATACAAGAAGGTTTTCCTTGGGCCATTGCTTCCTGTCCCTCTCTGAGGGATGGAGGGGGGGCCAGGTTCTGGCTCATGGTCCCCAGTAGGCAGAACTCTATTGACTGAAGCCCCAGACTAATATAGCGTATATCAGTTCAATAGCTCTAGGAAACCTCCGAAGCTCACCTAGAAAATGGCATTTAATTACATTCAACACTGTTTTTTTTTTTCTGGGTTTTCTAGGTATGATTTCCCTTTTACAAATTTCCTCTTGTCAATTATTCAAGTTTACAAGATAGCAGTTCCAGTACTTCCTTGCTATTTACCTGATCTTTTACTTACCAATGTCATTTCTGTCATGGTTATTTGCCTCATGACAAATTCAATTGCTACTTATCAGTTGGGGCTCTGCAAGCTTTCTTTCATGGTTTGGCTTGTGCCTAGTATCCACCAGCTTCCTCTGTCACTTCAGCATCTTCCAGCTAGCAGACGGGTGACTTCTAGTCCCTCAGTCTCAATTTCCTTTGTCATTTTGAGTTCCTATGAAGTTCGTTCTGAGTGTCTGCAGACACTGTTGTAGAGCTGGGAAATGTGGCATCGGGCTACATTCTCCAGGTATTTGACCGAGGCTAGGGGCCTAATATTCCTAACTTGGTTCTCTTTTCTCATTGTAATGGGCCTAGGGATTTGGCCACCTGAAGTTCATGTGAAATATAATGATGATAGTCATTTCTCTACAACTTGAAAAAAATTAACATTAATGAAATAGAGACAGACATAATGTAATTTGTTTCATTCTTTGTGTCTGCTTTATATAACATAATACTGTATATTTAATTCTTTGTACTTGCTTTATGCAATGTAATATATTAGATTCTTTATACTTGCTTTACATTCATCAATCTGATATTAATCTTTCTTTCAACAGACCAGCTCTAGAGGAAGTGGTACATTAGCACCAAGTGGTGGAATATGGGACTTATTGTGGATTTTGCTATCTCCCATTACTTTCTTATTTGGAATAGTCAGTCAGTTCCTCAATGGCAGAGAACCACGTACACCCCCACCCTCTCCAGATGAACCAGAAGCCAAGCGGTCCAGAGAAGATAGCTCTGGCAGCAATCAGCAACGGCCAACAACGTTAGTTTACTTTAAAGCATATTATTGTAATCCTTTCAGGATTTTTAAGATATATTACACAAATTTGAGCTTAGAACAAGTTAAATAATAAAAATCAAAACTGCCTTTACATTTGTGAAAGAGTTAAGAATGCTGAATAGGCAACTGTTCAGTAAAACTTCTTAATCCAGTCTATCATACCAGACCCAGCCAAATTCACGAATAACTCGGGTTTCTGAATATTTGGCATTTTTCTTTGTGTTGATTACCCTCATTGGTTCCTGGAGCTTAATTGTTTCAGGTTCCTGAGACTTAAAAGGCCTTCCAAAATCTTGGATCAGAATCTGGTTCTCTCAAAGAAGCAAGGAAAGCATGGAGGTCAGAGATGAACCCAAAACTGAGGAAACCACCCAGAAAGTCACAGACAAATTAAGAAAAATCCACTTTTCTGTAAGAAAGTAACCTTTGCACTAATTTACCTTGCTACCAGGTGGCATCTTGGAGGGGCAGAGGCTTCTGGGGTTTGCCCCCTGCCTTAACAGTGATGGGGAATGAATGGTCCCAGAATTTAGGATTACCATTCAGAAGCTTTAGAAGCTCATCCTCAATCCACAGAGCTTCTTTCTTCAAGTGAATGTGCTCTCTGGATGTAAATAAAGAAATAAAGAAAAACAAGTGACAAAACAATCAGTTAAACATCTGTGGATAAAACGGGAAGCATCAGCAAAGTCGAACACTGAACGATGACAAGTACCAGATGCAGCCTTGCAGAGCGCCTCCACCTAGTGACATGATAAATATTCACTAATTTTCATGTTTTCTTACATTTTGCATAAAAATTAATATTTCAATTAAAAATTAATTGTTAGGAAAGGCGGGGTTACAGTAAATTTAAATCCGAAGAGTTTTGCTGGGTTCCCAGCCATATTGGCGTTTCTTTAAATGAGCGTGCAGATGCTGCCGCTAGAGAAGCTATCTGCTCTTGTCCCATCTCCCGAAAGGTATTCCTTATTCTGACTTTTACCCGGTTATTCATTCCTCCAGCCTTGCCCATTGGCAGGGTTGTTGGTCTTCTGTTAGTTGGTAACAAGCTGCGTACTCTTAAGTGTAGTGTGTCCCTGTGGCCTTCCTCCTGCCACTTTAACCGGCAATGGGAAACGGCTCTAGCAAGGTTGCGTATTGCTTAACTCACAGTCACTTAATGAAGCGCCTCCCTGCTCCTTATTGTCCAAATTGCATTGTCCCTCTTACAGTCATGCATATCCTTGTTGAATGTCCTGAATTCCAGGATGAGCGTGTGTCTTGTTTTCCGACCATCCCTCGCTGTCACTTGTCCCTCGATAGAATTCTTGGTGAATCGGATACTTTTGATATCATTCGCCTTATGCATTTGTGTTCTTGTATTGGCATCCTTGGTGATATTTAGCGCCCTCTTATTATTTCGCGCATTTGATGGTGCTACATAGCCTTCCCGTTTTTTTTCCTTCTTTGGACAATTACTTATTAGGAACAGCTCCTCAGACCAGCTCCTAGAACAGCTCTGACACCCACTAAAGCAAAGCCGTCTTCTTGACCACGCCAGAAGCTACTCGCTCCAAAATGACCAGTGGAAGTGAGGGTAAGAAGCCTGCCCAGAAAGCCCCAACCCCCATTTGGGAGTGTGAGGGACTGACTAATCCCACCTGTCAAAGGGGCAAACCACAAGAGAGCTGGCATGAACCACGAGAAGTAGGAGCCTTCCTTGGAGAGCAAGCTGAGGAAGGACTGGCCACAGGAGATGCATATGACCCAGAATCAGTCTCCACCAAAGGCCTACCCTGACCAACAGCATGACACCCCAGTCCTGCCTGACCACCTCCTAAGGCTGAGAACAAAAACACTTAGATCACAAAAGATCCATACTAGACCAGCAACAAGTTGCAATATAGGACAAGAATTGCACAACCACCAGTTCTGGAAAGCATAGAAGTGTAAAAGGGGAGGCAAACAAGAGAGCTATGGCCCACACTGAATCCAATGACTGGGCCAACATAGCCTGTCAACATGTGAGGCAGACGACGTAGAAGATGGCCACTGCCTCCTGGAGATTGGGTGTATATAGCTTTGAAGAGCCACTGACAATGCCACAATGGACACCAAAGCCCCCACATTAGACCATGAATCAAGCCCTTTAATGTCCTTACAGAGCTACTCAGAATGAAGCTAGACAAGAACTAGAAACCGCACAATAAAAGCCAAGTGCAAGCGGGCAGAAAGATCCTCTGCCACGTGCGCCACCAAACACAAAGAAATAGTGGAACCAAACAGGCAGTCATTGAGCAGCTCTAAAGAAAAACCACCCAAAAACACATGAAACATGTTCACTACCTCATGCCATACTATCGATTGACAGCCCAGTATGTAAAAATATCTTCTCGGCAACTCCCACCCTATTGAGTGCAGGGGCAAGCACCAATGGGAGACTACTCACTCAACACCCATGAATTGCTAAACTTCCTCGCTCCATCATGGCAAGAGTAAGTCACATATAAATATTTATTTATATGTGACCTATATATATAACATTTTTGTTTTTGATCATTATTCTAAATCTGGTATAGGGTTTTCTTAATTGTAACATGTGTATCACTTTTTATCAGAAACAAGTATTTTTGCTTCCAAGATTGATTGGATTTTATTTGCTCTTAAGGGTTTGTTTTATCCAACTGTCACAGCTATTGTTATCAATTGTGTTGTGGGAACCGACCTGTGAGATTTATATTTATTTAATTTATATGAATTTATATTTACGTTAATTTATATACTTCGATAGCAATTTGTATAATGTTAAGTGGACTGTATTTCTGCAATAATCTCTTAATCTCACAAATCGATCCTCTACACATTAGGGGGGGTTTATATTACACATATGCAGCCAATCAAATTACAGTAATAGCTACATACATTGATGAGGTTCCTTCTCTTATAGTACAGCAGGTTAGTCCACCAGGTATAACTAGAGTGTAGACACCAAATTATCCTCTTTGAGGTAGCTTCCATATCACCCAGTAACTGGTGCACAAACTCTTCCTCGTCTTGACCTGTCAAAAGGGCGCTAACTGTGAAGCCAGAATCCTATATATGACAAGCTATATCAGAGAAAACACTATACAGTACATGGAACATTAAAGACCTGGCTTAATTACCTTTAGTATGAGGCGATTTCGCGTTCTAACCGGCTAACCCTATATCCTGACATTAATGGCCATAAATGAATGATAAACGGGTTTCGGATAGACACTTAACTTGTATTTGTAGACAGCGTGTTGACAATGGTACACCTTTGGGTTCCATAACACTACGTCCAAGTAAAATTAACAGGAGCCGAATTTGCTCCCGTGTGAGCCTCTGGTCTCTATATAACAACAATGGCTGCCCTCCTTCCCCACTGACGCCTGGCCTACTTTGTCCAGATTTCAGAACGTGATAGAAGGGTCACATTTACTCTACTTTAATATTGATAATTAAGTTAATTTATATAAGATGTTTTTATGATGGTAAAGTCCAAAGACTAATGTATTTAAGAATAATTCCCAGCAGAATAGCTGGTGAATTATAATAGTATGTGGTGATGATATCCCGTTTTCTTTAGACGGTAATTCCACTACAAGTTACGTTTTCTATGGGTAACTTGTTGGTAACACAGCTCTTATCTGTCTGTATGATATTAAATGGTGTCGGATTTTCCGACATAATTCCCCAGGGGCTGCTCACGGGTCGAAGTCCTCTTTAGAACAGACGAACACCGATACTCCTCCTTCGGATTATTAGATTAATCACACATTTGTGTGTCTGTTCGTACAGGACGGATGTCCCGTACTAGAGTTGCAGGGGTTAGAAGTCTAATGCAATTTCATTTCCCTGTCAACTCTTGAAAGGCTAATATTCAAGCCTAATTACATATTATTTAACCCAGAAGACTGGATGTGATCAAGTACTACAGTCAAGTATGATTCAGGGACTGCAGTGAGATCAGTGACATTAGATATAACTTGAAGTTTCTTCAGGTAACTGGTCACTGATATATAAACACTGAGGCCCATGGAATACATCTTGATTAAATAATAAATGTATCAAATCAGTCATCAGATTTATTGGGGTTTAATTTAGTTAATTGATTCAGAAGATTGAATAGCTCATCATTAAAGTAAAGTATGGTTCTGAGACTGCAGTGGGTTCAGTGACATTGGTCGCAGTGACTTGTAGCTGGTTTAGGCTACTGTTCACTGATTTGCCACTGAGGCCTCATGAACTCATCTTCAGCTTTAAATGATGATACTAACATCAACCTCTGTTACTATAGTCAGCTGTAATCTCCTTAGTATAATGCTACTGGAGAAATATAATCAGCTGACAAATTTAGATCTCTACTGGTATTGTTTATCTGCAGGCATAGGTCTCCTCAGGCTTGATACTGGGCCTGAGAGTAATTTACCTCCTGCAGACTTTAACATGGTTATGCCCTGATATTTAGTAGGGCTACCGATGAATTGATGGTAGTAGTCTGTCCCCACAAGGACAGCTATTTGGCATTTGATTTGCTCAAATTTACCTGCAGCTGCTTGATAATAGCTTTCCAGGTCAGCATAATCAACTTGAGATTGTTGTGACAAATCTTCACATTTCTTGATCTGTCTTGTTAAGTGGCCTTTAAGACCTGCAAGGGTTCTTTTCATTCTCCCTGCATTATCCATACTGGCTCGTTGGTGAAGCCTTGTGGGGCTTGTACTTGGGCTGCTCATAATACTGAACAAGCTCTAATGGTAGCCTAGGGTTAAATTCTGCACTCACTAGGCAATAATCCTACCTCTACTAGAGGTTAGCACTTAAAATTAATACACATTATATATATACAATCATACACACTAATAATTTGAGTGATAAACCAGTGTCACTGGAAGTACCTTTAGGTTAGCTCTTCTATATCACCCTAGGATGGTAGAGACACTAATTAATCACTCAAAGGTGTAATGATCATAAGTAATTTATTATATATACAACTCAACTCGAGTTGATAAAAATTACACCCAAAATAGGGTCTGGACCATTCATTAATGGTGTTAGGTTGTTCAATATAGTACAACTGACTATTGTAATAATGGGACTAGGATGAACAATAATAGTTCAACTAGTCAATGGTAATATCCTACCCTGTTGTGGGTTGGCAATTAGTAAATATTATACTGTGATCACTAGTGCAATATATATTAAATAATTCTCTATTTTGGAGAAATAATATACACAATTATTGATAATAGCCTCTTAATTAGCCTCTATGAAACTTCTATTATTATCTAGAAGTATTAAATATTATTAGTGACCTCGCGAAATAAACTCCACAAAATTCGTAGATAATCTCTCGCGAAATGTAACACCACGAAATCCGTGAACAATCTCGCGAAGACACAGTCACTAATTTGGCTGGATTCTATATTAGCGCTGTCATTTCACGAAATAACACGCCACCAAATCTGTGGGTGTGCATGAAACCGCTGACTAAGGCTGATCTGGGCTGAGGGAGGCTCCTGAGCTCCCTCGAGGCTACGCTGCCGTCTTGACTGCTGGCTTTGTTTAAATAACACTGCACTAGTATATTTAATGAATCCACTGGATAACTGGTTCATCCGGTACTAAGATGACCAAATGTGGGTTCAAAGGATCAAATAATCCGTCATCCGGTTCGAAGATGACCAAATAATGTGGGAACCGACCTGTGAGATTTATATTTATTTAATTTATATGAATTTATATTTACGTTAATTTATATACTTCGATAGCAATTTGTATAATGATAAGTGGACTGTATTTCTGCAATAATCTCATAATCTCACAAATCGATCCTCTACACATTAGGGGGGGTTTATATTACACATATGCAGCCAATCAAATTACAGTAATAGCTACATACATTGATGAGGTTCCTTCTCTTATAGTACAGCAGGTTAGTCCACCAGGTATAACTAGAGTGTAGACACCAAATTATCCTCTTTGAGGTAGCTTCCATATCACCCAGTAACTGGTGCACAAACTCTTCCTCGTCTTGACCTGTCAAAAGGGCGCTAACTGTGAAGCCAGAATCCTATATATGACAAGCTATATCAGAGAAAACACTATACAGTACATGGAACATTAAAGACCTGGCTTAATTACCTTTAGTATGAGGCGATTTCGCGTTCTAACCGGCTAACCCTATATCCTGACATTAATGGCCATAAATGAATGATAAACGGGTTTCGGATAGACACTTAACTTGTATTTGTAGACAGCGTGTTGACAATGGTACACCTTTGGGTTCCATAACACTACGTCCAAGTAAAATTAACAGGAGCCGAATTTGCTCCCGTGTGAGCCTCTGGTCTCTATATAACAACAATGGCTGCCCTCCTTCCCCACTGACGCCTGGCCTACTTTGTCCAGATTTCAGAACGTGATAGAAGGGTCACATTTACTCTACTTTAATATTGATAATTAAGTTAATTTATATAAGATGTTTTTATGATGGTAAAGTCCAAAGACTAATGTATTTAAGAATAATTCCCAGCAGAATAGCTGGTGAATTATAATAGTATGTGGTGATGATATCCCGTTTTCTTTAGACGGTAATTCCACTACAAGTTACGTTTTCTATGGGTAACTTGTTGGTAACACAGCTCTTATCTGTCTGTATGATATTAAATGGTGTCGGATTTTCCGACATGTGTTATTGAGCATTGTATATTTTAGTCACCTTAAATACGCAAATCTCTTGATTACTCACATTCAATATAAGCTGTCTCTTATTTATTTTTGTAAATACAAGCCTGTAAAGTTATGCTGGGTATTACTCTTGAAAGTATTAATTCCAATGAACTAGCCAATAATTAGTCAAAGATTTCTGGTCTCACATACTCCGTCCTCCTGCAACCAGTTCCTTTCACAGATTTTTATCTGCTAATAACTAGCCATACAGTATTGGGTGTTGAAGGGACAAGTGGGCACAGTAAATCTTTTCAATAATACTCCCCACATTGACAAGCAGAATGGTTCACATTGTTCCTCTTCTTAGTGTCATTTTACTGTATATTGCCTTGCACTATTTGATGGAATAGAAACTTGCCCCATATTACCCAAATTGTTTTGTTCCTATGACGGTTACTTGCATCATCTAATGCCTTGATTTCCAGGATGACCTAAATTTTGTTTCCCATCAATCCCTTTAATTTAATTTGTTTTCTACCCTCCCTAGTAAATCACTGTATGTACTGTCATCTTACGTCTTTCTGCTCTCAAATTGGCAACTTGAGTTATATACAAGTCTTTTTCTTTTACTTTTGAGTTTAATTGTGCATATAACCAACCTTGCTCAGTGCCATCTTCTGATGATTTCTTCTTTGCTACTTACCAGAGCTTACAGAAGGCGTGGAGACACGAGATTGCGGCAAGAAGGGAACATTCATCGTCTTGGAAATGATGATGATGATGATGATGAAAATAATACCTGGAATGGTAACTCAACTCAGCAGATGTGAAAGCTAAAGGGCAACAAATGTGACCAGTAGAATAAAGGCAAAATTCATAATGGCAACACACTTATTCTGGTGATGTATTTAATATTTAGAAAATATATTATTGTTAAAGTGCCCATTTACAGCAAGCAGCTCCTGGTGATATTTTTGGGTTTAATATTTTGTTAATATGAACTTTAACTGGATCAAAAGGTTTAGATTTTCTTGAAAATTAATTAGTACAGGTACTGTATTTAAAAAAAAATAGTGATGATTTATCCAAAAATGCATTTTGGTCAATATTTCAGTTTTGTTCTGAGAATGTTGTTACTAACATGTCTTAAAACCTTGTAAGGTAAATTAAGCTCTTGTAAATTTAGAACTTGTACAATAAATATGCATGCATACACATGTACAATGTTGTGTTCGTATTATGTACACACACACACACATGCATGGTTGAGTGTGATTATGCCATGCATGTGCACACAGATGAGTGTGCTCATGCCTTGTATGCATGTGCACACAGTTGAGTGTGTTCATGCCATGCACTTACACACACAGTCGAACATGTTCATGCCATGCACGTACACACACAATGAGTGTGTTCATGCCATGCACATACACACAATGAGCGTGTTCATGCCATACACGTACACACACACTGAGCGTATTTATGCCATCTTTAATCAGGAACATAGTTTTTTGTTATGGATGACAGACATTTTGTATAGAACAACATTCTTATTTATTAATCTATATATACAGTATATTCAACAATTATTTTCATGATGCTTTGAAGTGTTAAAAAATGGGTGATGGAGTTTGTATCTGAGAATATATTATCATAATAGACTATCCTTTAAGAATTTGAGTTTTGTAGAATATTTTTCATAGTTTTTGTTTGTGTGTCAAATTTTAAATAGCATTTATTTTGACTACTTGTTTTCCAAATTTACGATCATTTCATAGGTTTTTGAATTTTTCTTGACATTATTAAATATGAGACATCTATCTTAAAAATTTGATATGAAATGTGGTGTTATTTAAAAATTACAGTATTCTGTAAACTTTGAACCATTTTATATAACCTCTTAAAGAGAGAGTATAAGAAAGAATCAATGAATAATTTTGTAGAGGTGTGCATGTATCTATACAGTACAGTACCTGTGTTTGCGCATTTCAGAATTTCAAGCATGCGGTTGAAAAATATCTTCACAGCAACACACACAACCCAAAACTCAAAATTAGAATCCCTTGCTCTTGTCTGTTATATAACCAATGGTTCTGTTAAGCTTTACTGTGTTCCAACCTAAGTTTCCATGTTTAAACAAAATATTCAAGATGCACTAGATGTTGCTTATTTCAGTATGCCATACTTAATATTTATTACTCGATGTATCTGCTCATATTTTTTATATCCTTTATTCCACAATACATTTTTTTTAACTTAATATCATCACATAAATATGTTGTACAGAACTGTACTCGGAAATGAACAAATTACACATCGATTACAAATCAGTATTCTCCTATCTTTAAACAATTTAACCATCACAAGTACTGTAAACTGCTAAAGTTTACTGTACTTACAACCAGTTATATTCTAATATATTCATTGCTGTACTAAATTTTGATGGCACATACAGAAGAAATAAATGTAATTAAAATTATAAAGCATACTGTTTGGCTGTAATTATTCTGAAACAATTCATGTGATGTATGTGTGTGATGCACACTGACATCGTACTGGTACTTGCATACTCTGTTCCTATAACCAAGTGATGTTAAGGTCACTTTAAATTAAATAATCATTCAGGATCATGTGCAGTCCTGGAAGGGCTACATACTGGCACCAACTCCAGTGAATATTTAAATAATTTGTTGATTTGTTTTAAGTTAGTCTTATGGTACTTTTAAGTCCAAGTTATTAGTTCTTAGGCATCATTGTAGGAATAAAATAACTTTATATATTGAGCCCTAATTAGTATAAATTGCATAACTTTACTCCTTCAAGTAATGGTTCATACAATAAGAGGAAGTTTATTAGAAAAGTACAAAAACCATTAGCCTTATCGGTGTTAAATGTGGATCTTTTGCCAGATATTGTGAGACATATTTGATGAATTTTATGAAGGTATCTTATTTATGTACAGAAGTGTTAGTGTTCTTGCTATAAACACACACATGTATGGTACATACACTTATTTGGTCCACAGATACTGTAACATGTGCTCATCATTTTTATTTTCCTCAAATCAGATGTACATATACTGTACGTATCGGGTAAATATGGTTTCCCATGCAGTTGCATAACTAGTTTGATATTTACTGGAAGTCCTGATGCACAGGATGATATAAAGCAATACAAATATCCTCGAGTTTGATTACCTGCTTTTTTGTTTATACAGTAATTTAGTTTCTTAAGCTAGTACAGTATAAATTATTCAAAGAGGGGAAGAGTAATGTATACAGAATATTCTGATACTTATCAGTTGTCTATATTTAGCTGAAAATTTATTTTAGAACATTTCTATTCATCACTGAAAAACAGTATCTGAAATAAATCAGATTTATCAGTTAAGACAGTTCTGACACAGCATTAGTTTAAATATGTAAAGTTTCGGTAATTTTAGCAGTCATTCACTGGTTGCCAATATTTACTCCTTTTATTGCCTTATATAATAATTTTTCCTGCGTGAATGGTCATGATTGTGCTCTTGCTACTACCAATTTGCACTGCTCTGGTGGGATTTGGCACCAAAATTTATCATAAATCTTACTAGCATCCATGAAAATCAGAACAGCCAGTAGTGTGAAGTTCATATTGCAGCCTTGTAAAGCCTTGTGGGTATGGACAAACTTTAATGAGATTCATTTGAGTAGGATAGGAAGAAAATATTTATATTATTAGGGGGGCTACCACCATATAGATGTGAATATTTGATGTATAAATAATACTGCATGAGGGGGCTTAGTGGGCGGCTGCCGGAGTGTGATGCTCCATGGGACAGTCCTTACCCTGAGGGGTTTTCGGGACTTGGCGAAACACGCAGCCCGGTCGTCGACCAGGCCAACTCTATCACTTTTGAAGCCTTATGGTCCTGCTGCCATCTTCACTAATTGTGCTGATGCCTTTTCCTCTTCTTTATGTTTCATTTCCCCCCCCCCCCCCCCCCTTCTCCTTTCTGATTGTTATTTCTTGCCTACTTTTTGCCATTTTTTATTATTCTTTCAGATGTCTTCTTTTCTGTGGGAGGAGCCCCTTTGGCTTCCCGGGGCTTACTAGGCTGATATGCTAATGTCAGACTTCGGCATCAGTCATGTGTATTGAGTTCTATGGGCCTACCGGGAACCACGAGCCAGAACCTGGCCCCCTCAGAAGAGGTAAGGAAAACAATGGCCTATAGAAACCCCCGTGTGGTTGGAAGCATTCTGTCTGCCATCGACTGGGTCAAGTACCCAGAAAGGTAAGCATCCCAAAATAAACCCCTATTCTAGTGAAAATATTCCTACCAAAAGCTGAACAAGTGGATAGAACTCCCCTAAACGAAATGAGCAAACGATCATGACGTCACACATCACCGCGCCGCTGTCTGCACAGCTCCCTCCTCCTCGTGAGGGGGGTAGGGGGAGCCCCAGACCCCACACGTCGGCTATCCACCATTTAGTTCTTAGGCTGATGCTAGAGGCTCTGGCTCCAGACATAGTTTCAGCACTGTGCCTTGAGTGTGGTGGCTGTCTTCTAGGGGTGCGAGAGCCAGGAGTTATTCTCCAGTACTCAGGCTGTATGCGCCTAGGGTTCCCTTTCCTAGGTGCCCTGTAAGTACTGCCCTTGGGGCTTGGGGTTATCTTCCACAAGTTCCTCGGGTCCTGTATCTGCTGGCCGTCCCCCTGCCTGTCTGGCCCGTTGTCACTGTGAGGGGGCTTGGTGAGCGGCTGCCGGAGTGTGATGCTCCATGGGTCAGTCTCTGTCCTTTTGCAGCCTTAGGCTCCTGCTACTGTCTTTACCAATTGTGCCAGACATCTTTTCCTTTTACTCGTGTTTCATTTTTCTCCCCCCCCCCCCCCCCCCTCTTCTCCTTTCAAATTGTCATTTCCCGCTGACTTTTTGCCCGTATTGATCATTCTTTCGGCCTTCTTTTGTTTTGATGCCCGGGTTTGAGGAGGCATACTCTTGCACCCGTAGAACTAGAGTACCCAACGTCTCGAACGAGGGGACCCTTTTATTGTCAATCCTCCTTTCGTCACTGAACCCGATGTCGACGGACTGAACCACAAGTCCGTCGACATCGGGTTCAATGTCCGTTTGATGTGGTTCTATCACCACCTCTCCCCGTCTCAATTTGGTTTTCGCAAGTGCCGTAGCACGACTGATATTTTGGTGAACTTCGAGGTTTATATTCGTACTGCTTTTGCTGCGAAGACCTAAAATCAAATCAAATCAAAATCAAATCAAATATTTATTCAGGTGTAGTACATACATACAAGGTGAGATACAAAACGTTGATGGATTTATAGATAGAGCTAGTACATATACAATGCCTAGAGCCACTATTACGCAAAGCGTTTGGGGCAGGAAAAACACTAAGACTAAAACTTAATACTAATTGAGATTAAAGTATAAATTGTGTTGAGAAAATAAAAAAATAAAAAAGGGGGAACATGGCAGAAAAAATAGCAAAAATACAATTTGGTCAACAGACAGCATTGTATAAAATAGAAGACATGGGTTGACATTTTGGGGGTGAGGTAGGTTACATGGAGTTAATTAGGTAGTACTTTGTTTTTATCTTAAACTGGTTGGGAGAGGTACAGTCTTTAACATAATTGGGAAGGTCATTCCACATTCTGGTTCCCTTGATTTGTAAAGCATTTCTAGTTTGATTAAGTCGTACTCTTGGAATATCAAATAGGTATTTGTTTCTGGTGTGGTGCTCATGGGATCTGTTAGAACCTTCTAGGAAGCATTTAAGGTCAGGATTGACATTACAGTTGTTGCGTTGACCTCCGTTGTTGCTGTCCTTTTTACCTAGAAAAAGCATATAGCACCACCTGGAGATACCATATTCTGTCCCAACTTCGTTCATTTGGCCTTCGTGGTAACCTCACTCTCTTCCTCCAAAGTTTCCTCTCTAGTCATTCCTTTAGAGTGAGGCTTGGTACCACTCTCTCTGCCTCTTCTCGGCAATACGAAGGTGTACCCCAATGTAGTGTTCTGAGAATTACTCTTTTCCTTGTTGCCCTCAATGGTCTTCTTTCCTCCCTTTCCTCTGGCATCTTCTCAACGCTATATGTTGATGATCTTACCCTTTGTTATCGGAGTGATGACTCTCCTTTCCTTCAACGACGACTTCAACTTGCGATTGATGCCGTGTCGTCTTGGGCCACCAATCATGGCTTCAAGTTCTCTAAAACTAAGACTTTTACCATGACTTTTACTCGGAAGCAGGTAGTTCTTTGTCGCTTTATGGTATGAGGAGAAAATGGATATTAGTGCAGTCTCTCTAGGGCAGATGGAATGTCAGTCACATAAAACAAACAAAAAGCAAAAAAAAAATGAAAGAAAAGTTTAATTGCTAGTGTTGACCAGACCACACACTAGAAGTTGAAGGGACGACGACGTTTCGGTCCGTCCTGGACCATTCTCAAGTCGATTGTGATTTCGTTTGATTGCTAGTTGAATCTTCACGTTGAGGTAACTGTAGGATAAGACAGAGAACCAAAATTTAAAAATACTTTACTTAATAAGAATGATGTTAAACAAATTACAAAACAAAAAAATATCAAAGCTTGGCTTGATACAAAGAGTGCAAATCAAATAAGACAAACAAATAATTAAATTTACGTTACGTTAATGTGCAAATACTATAATATGGCACGGAAATATTGTGAGCTAAAATTGCATAAATCTGTTGTAACACCAAAGTATGTCAACAGACCTAGTCAGTAGAGCACTCAGGAGTAATCTGGCTTGCTGGATGGTTGATCGATGAAGATTAAGCCACCCAAAAGGTGGCACGGGCATGAATAGCCCGTAAGTGGTGGCCCTTTTGAGCCATTAGCAGTATTAAGAGCGGATACTGGAGATCTGCGGAGGTGCAAGTGCACCCTGCATGATGGGAGATGTCTCCCGTGTGCTTGCTGGAGATGACTGATGAAGATTAAGCCACCCAAAAGGTGGCATGGGCATGAATAGCCCGTAAGTGGTGGCCCTTTTGAGCCATTACCAGTATCATTAGCTGATACTGATCTGTGGAGGTGCAACTGCACCCTGCGTGACGGGAGATGTCTCCCGTGTCCAAATGGTGGATTAACAGAGGCAAAAATAACAAAATATGTGCAACTGCAAGTTGCATGGAAATGTGCAACTGCAATTGCAAGCAATTGGCGACTGAAGCTGCTGGAATTTATTGCAGCTCGCGGTTTTTATAAAGTTGCTACTGCAGTTGCTAGAATTTTCAGCTGCAATTTTGCAACTTATTAACTATTATTCTACTTAAGTAGGGGCACATGCACCCGAACATAAAGTACGTAAATTTTCTGACCAGGGGGAGAAAGATACTGGCAGTATGGGGCGTTAAAGTTTATTGAAGATTAAATTCTGCAGAACATGTAAATATATAAAGTTCAAATATAAAGTAAGTAATTATATAAAGTTTATATTAAACACGGTTTATATTATAGACTTATAACAAAGTTGATATTATTAAACTTAATATTGAACATGTAAATATATAAAGTTTCAAATATATAATTTAAGGAATATATAACGTTTATATTAAAATATATAAAGTAAATATATAAAGTAAGAATTAACAGTAACAATTCCAAGTCCGAGGACTAGATTTAACTTAAAAGGTACACCCGTAGTAAGTATGAGACCTTAGCCTATAGTGACATGGAAACTAATTCTGCAGAAACCTAAAGGTTAACTGGTACTAGAATTAAGGCCGAGTGCAAATGTGTAGTAATTATATAACACTAGGATATAACAGGCAGGACACAAAGAATAACTAATAAGTGAGAGACCACATAACACGTAATGTACCCGGCCAAGAGGCCGTAAAAGACCTAATGGATAAGGAGAAGGGGGTGTGACTACAAGTAGGGCTTACTAGCACCTAGACTGGGCAAAGTATTAGCTGCGGACAGTGGGACACTTGGGGACCGGCGCTGCACCCCCCTTCCCACATGCAGTGGGGAGACAATCGGGACAACTGTGCAAAGCATGACGGGGGTACAAAAGCAGCCGCTTGCAAAGGGGGGGAGGGTGGGGTTTTGCGAGGGCAGCGGCGAGGGCAGGCGGAGTGAGGCAGAGCCCCATTGTGCGCCCGTATTTATACGGCCCCAAACTGCCCGAGCAACGCCGCGGGACGCGCTGCGCAATTGTTTCTTTCTCCCCCGCCAGAAAAATCCCCGCTTGCGATCAAGCAGTGACCATAAAGTATACAAGTTTAGAGAATTAATCTGTTCTGTTGCAAGTTCTGCTGTTCCATTCAACATATAATTATTATCATTATTTGTTTTTCCTATTTCAGTTCAATTATTGCCTGATCTCAATTAGTTTTAAGTCTTAGCTTTTAATTTTTTTCCCACATCTTGCCCGAAACGCTGTGCTTACTTGTGGCATAAGGCATAGTATGTACTGTACTAGCTCTATCTAGAGATTCAAATTTCTGTTTTTAGTCATTGTGTATATATGTACTTATACCTGAATAAACATTATTATTATTATTATCATTGTTATTATTATTATTATACATGCATCAGGCGAGAGGAAACATTGCCAGAACTGTCTCATCATTTTCTTGTGTCAGGACCGAGCCCACGACGTTCATCTCATCGACAGAAATTGAAATTGAAATTGAAATAAGTTTATTGAGGTAAAATACACACAAAGGGATGAGGTAGCTCAAGCTATTCTCACCCCATTCAGTACAACGTGTTAATATATACATAGACACACATCACAAATAAACACATTACCAAACATTCTGAGAGGTAAAAATATACATTTCCTCCCTCACAAGTAGTATGGTATCAGACGTACACACAAATACTTTTACTTTCATCGACAGAGATCGTCGACAGATAAGCTTGACTAAGTCCGTAACTGCAAATCACATTTATATGCCATGAACGATAACATTTTCGTTATCACTTTACGGATCCTGTGATATGGGCCGCTGGCAGGGGTGCTATTTCCGAGACCTGTGTTCCAATAATGTAGGGACCTTATAAATACAACACTCGATAGCACTGTTTAATGTACAATAGTCTCCTAGTAATTGATTTCGTATGATAAGGTTATGTTAAATAATTTTTAATTCAGTTTATATGTATAAATATCGTATAATTGTCTTTTTAAATGACTATTCGTTTGTGAATTTTCGCCAAAACAACGGTGCCGCGATGATTATTTCAGTCCGGTGTGTGGAGTCAGTGAGTGAGGGTGTGTCGAGCTCTCTGGAGGAGTAGATGGTTATTTGTCAACACGGGCTAGACACAGACCACCAACATGCCTGTGTTTCACACCAAGACCATCGAGGGGATCCTGGAGCCCGTGGCCCAGCAGGTAAGACGTGTGTGAGCCCTTGTGAGGTGTGGGGGAGCGGCCGGCCAGCTGATCACTGCCACTCCTCCACACTATTTCTCTACTCTTAACAGTTAGTAATAGTCAAGACAACCATCCTCTTCAGTCGTCTTATAACTATTTTTAACGGGGTTGACATTGACATGACTTTCATTGTCATTCATAGAGGTTAACATTGTGTACTTGAACCTTCGTCAGGTGTACTGTATTTGATGTGCTGTATGAAGCTGAGATTGGTGGTGTGAAGGTGTCTGGGAAATTGTCTCCAGAACCACGGCACCTGTTGGCCCTGCTGGGGTGAGGAAGCCTGTGTGTCTTGTAGAGGCTTCCCCTGTTGCCAAGGGAACCTGGCAACCTGGCTTTTACCTGGGGTGAGGAAGCCTGTGTCTCTTGTAGAGGCTTCCCCTGTTGGCCTTGCTGGGGTGAGGAAGCCACTTTTCTACCTGGCATTAGGGGCCACTCTACTACCTGGCACTAGGGGCGACTCTTCGACCTCGCACTAGGGGCCACTCTTCGACCTGGCACTAGGGGCCACTCTTCGACCTGGCACTAGGGGCCACTCTTCTACCTGGCACTAGGGGGCCCCACTCTTCTACCTGGCACTAGGGGGCCATTCTTCTACCTGGCACTAGGGGGCCACTCTTCTACCTGGCACTAGGGGCCACTCTTCTACCTGGCACTAGGGGCCACTTCTACCTGGCACTAGGGGCCAGTCTTCTACCTGGCACTAGGGGGCCACTCTTCTACCTGACACTAGGGGGCCACTCTTCTACCTGACACTAGGGGGCACTCTTGTACCTGGCACTAGGGGCCACTCTTGTACCTGGCACTAGGGGCCACTCTTGTACCTGGCACTAGGGGCCACTCTTGTACCTGGCACTAGGGGCCACTCTTGTACCTGGCACTAGGGGGCCACTCTTGTACCTGGCACTAGGGGGCCACTCTTCTACCTGGCACTAGGGGCTCTTCTACCTGGCACTAGGGGCTATTCTTCTACCTGGCACTAGGGGGCCACTCCTCTACCTGGCACTAGGTGCCATTCTACCTGGCACTAGGGGCCACTCTTCTACCTGACACTAGGGGGCACTCTTGTACCTGGCACTAGGGGCCACTCTTCTACCTGGCACTAGGGGCCACTCTTGTACCTTGCACTAGGGGGCCACTCTTCTACCTGGCACTAGGGGCTCACTCTTCTACCTGGCACTAGGGGCCATTCTTCTACCTGGCTCTAGGGGGCCACTCCTCTACCTGGCACTAGGTGCCACTCTTCTACCTGGCACTAGGGGGCCACTTCTACCTGGCACTAGGGGGCCACTCTTCTACCTGGCACTAGGGGCCACTCTTCTACCTGGCACTAGGGGCCACTCTTTTACCTGGCACTAGGGGGGCCACTCTTCTACCTGGCACTAGGGGGGCCACTCTTCTACCTGGCACTAGGGGGGCCACTCTTGTACCTGGGACTAGGGGGGGCCACTCTTGTACCTGGGACTAGGGGGGGCCACTCTTGTACCTGGCACTAGGGAGGGCCACTCTTCTACCTGGCACTAGGGGGCCACTCTTCTACCTGGCACTAGGGGGCCACTCTTCTACCTGGCACTAGGGGGCCACTCTTCTACCTGGCACTAGGGGGCCACTCTTCTACCTGGCACTAGGGGGGGCCACTCTTCTACCCGGCACTAGGGGCCACTCTTCTACTCGGTACTAGGGGGGGCCACTCTTCTACCCGGTACTAGGGGGGGCCACTCTTCTACCCGGTACTAGGGGGGGCCACTCTTCTACTCGGCACTAGGGGCCACTCTTCTACCTGGCACTAGGGGCTACCCTTCTACCCGGCACTTGGGGCCTCTCTTCTACCCGGCACTAGGGGCTTGTCTTCTACCCGGCACTAGGGGCTTGTCTTCTACCCGGCACTAGGGGCTTGTCTTCTACCCGGCACTAGGGGCTTGTCTTCTACCCGGCACTAGGGGCTTGTCTTCTACCCGGCACTAGGGGGCTTGTCTTCTACCCGGCACTAGGGGGCTTGTCTTCTACCCGGCACTAGGAGGCTTGTCTTCTACCCGGCACTAGGGGGCTTGTCTTCTACCCGGCACTAGGGGGCCACTCTTCTACCCGGCACTAGGGGGCCACTCTTCTACCCGGCACTAGGGGGCCACTCTTCTACCCGGCACTAGGGGGCCACTCTTCTACCCGGCACTAGGGGCCACTCTTCTACCCGGTACTAGGGGCCACTCTTCTACCCGGCACTAGGGGCCACTCTTCTACCCGGTACTAGGGGCCACTCTTCTACCTGGCACTAGGGGCCACTCTTCTACCCGGTACTAGTGGCCACTCTTCTACCTTGCACTAGGGGCCACTCTTCTACCCGGTACTAGGGGCCACTCTTCTACCTGGCACTAAAGGCCACGATAATACCATAATGGATGTATTTGTTTTTATTTGTATTGAATATATTAGTGATGGTGTGTGGGAGTGTTGTATGAATGCAGTATTAATTGCTACTCTGAGAAGTAACACTGCATTTGTACAGCTTAATTTTTTTTTGGGGGGGGGGGGTGAGGGACCAAAAAAAAAAATGACAACTCCTAGACCTGCACATTATAGGATTAAGTATCAAATCTACACATTATATCACTTTTGTTATATCATTTATTGTTATTGAAACCCTTGAAATAGACAATGTATATTGAATTTCAGAAAAATATATATATGTTAATCAAGAGAGGCAGTTTTAAGTGATCACTCATCTCTGAGTTATCTCAAATTCATAAAATGGGTATTATTCTTCAGAGTGGTGACTTGTATCACTGTTAGTAATATAGGATGCAGTATAAGTATTTTCTCTTGCTTTCCATTGAAGTTCTCAAAGAATTAAGAAATCTCAGCAACACTACTATTGAGCAGTGTGAGAGTTTATATGAAAAATTCAAGGTACAGTAGTGATGTGTGCAGTATACCTAAGCTCTTGATTGCAAAATAATTTTTGGTCAGAAGAAAATTTGCATATTTTGAATATTTTTTTTTCTTGAATGAAATCTATACAATACAGTTGGCTCCATTCTCAACTTTGTCATGGATCCTAGGTTCAATTCTTAGGCGGGACAGAAATGGTTGGACACTTTTCCTATCACTGAACTAGTAGTAAGTATGTACCCAGGAGCTAGTCAGCTTGTTGTGGCATTGCATCCTGGGCGGGGGGTGGGGCAGCTTGATATAACCCTAACATATTGTACATAAATACACTTGGGCTGCCTGTCCCCTGACAATGAATTATTATTATTATACCTGAGAATTAGGAAACTGTTGTGGAGTTACATCCTGAGGATGGTCTGTAGTTTGACCTTGGAGGACATATTCCTAAAAATATGTACTGTATATGTACTCACCTAAATGTGCTTTCAGGGTCAAGCTAGGCTTTTAGCCCTGTCTTTCAAGTGTTCTTAGATTAATTAAATGACTTCTTTCTAATGCTTTTCATCATATTTACATTTAAAACCTTGTATTTAAGTAGCTTCAACGACTTGTACATCTAACCTGTTCCACTTATTAACAGCTCGAACACTGAACAAGTTCTTTCTGATGTGTCTGACTCATTTGTGTGTGTAGTTTCCATCCATGTCCTCTTGTTTTGCTGTTCCTAGCTTTAAACAATGCTGCTTTGTCAATTCCCCTTAGGATCTTGTATGTTATCATGTCCCCGTTCTCTCCTTTCCTCCAGTGTGGGAAGAGCCTGTTCTGTCTTTCCTCATTGCACATGCCATTTAGTTTAGAAAAGTCCAGTTTGCATATCTTTAGACCTTTTCTAGTTTCAACATGTCCTTTTTCATTTAAGAGATCCATACCGAGGATGTATATTCAAGAGGGAGGTCTCGCCTTCACAGTACAGTGTATATAGGGCCTGGAAAGCCCCCAGGTCCAAGTTTCTTCAGGATTCAGAGATGTTAGCCAGTATGCCATATGCAGGTGATATTGTTCTGCTAATGTTGGCTTTTGGCATCAGATATGGGGTTATGTCCACTCGCAGGTCTTTCTCCTTTTCTAAGCAAAGAATCTGTTTTCCTTTCATTCTGTATTCCTGAACTGGTCTGTGCACTACTGTTCTAATCCACATAACTTTACATTTGACAGTTAAATTCTGGCACTAGTCATTTTCCAGACCACTTCTAGAGTGTGTCCAAATCCATTTGCAATGCATAACAATCTATGCATGTCCTGACTCTTCTCACTAGTTTTACATCATCTGCAAACATTGATACTGTATGAAGGAGTCAGTTTCCTGCCAAGTCATTGACACAGTATTAGAAGTAAGTAATTATCAAAAAAAGGCACCAAGCCGGGAAGGCTATTTAGCATCATCAAATGTGCGGAATAATCATAGGGCGCTAAAAATATCACCAAGGATGCCAATATGAGAACAGAAATGCACAAGGTGGACGATATGAAAGGTATCAGAGTCACCAAGAATTCTATCGAGGGCCAAGTGACCGCGAGGGACAGTCAGGAAGCAAGACACATGTTCGTCCTAGAAGTCAAGGCACAGTATTAGAAACAGGATAGGCCCTAGAACCAATCCTTTGTGTTTTCCACTCATAAGCTCTCTCTCCACTCTGGTGTGTCAGCTCTCACTGTAACCCCTTTGTTTTCTTCCTAAGAGGTATAGTGGACCCTTGGTTTACAAATTTAATTCATTCCAAGAGACAGTTCATACACTGAAAATTTTTTCCATAAGAAATAATGTAAATTGAATTAATCTGTTCCACACACCCAAAAATATTTACTTAAAAATACATTTTATTCTCAATGCTACTTATAATTTATTGTTAAATTTAATAATAATTGTTAATAACTCATAATTTTGTTCTTCCATCTGCCCTCAACCCCCTCCTCCTGTCCTTGCACAGTGCAATAGCAATTGCCACATTTACTTTTGCAAACTTTAGTATTGCTCAAACCCCTTGAATTCCAATAAAAGAAGCTGTATCAAG